CCACAGACCACGACACCACGTCTTTGCCCACACTATCCCCCACTGGCTTCTGATCCTCCCCCCCACTCTGTAGGTCCCAGCGCCCTGGGGGTCCCCAGCTTACCCTGCCCATGCCAGTCCTGCCTTCCTGCACCAGTGGTGTGGCTTCATGCTCCAGGCAGGGCGAGTCTTTCCTGGAGCCTCCCTGCAAATGGGGTTGTAAACACCAGCTTCCAGTTGCTGTAAGGCTCCCAGGAGCACATGCATGTGAGGTGCCACCACATGCACTGTGACCACTATGTCTGCTCTCTAGGGAGGAGACCGGGGTCAGAGCAGGCCTTCCTTGCTCAAGCTCCCACAGGGAAGGAGGATCTGGGAGGTCCAGGTGGATCCTCTTCTGGGGCGTAGGCCAGCCTTGGGGGTCTTGTCCCAGGAACTGCATCCTGACCTGAGTCTTGGGTGTCTGACGACCCCTCGGCAGGCCCCATCTCTCTGGAATGTTCCATTCCTCATCCTCCCTCGTGACCCAGCACTCGGTTTCCTCAGCAGCAGGATGAGGATCTGTGGGTGGATGCTGGCTGGGCCCTTGCGTCTCTGCCGTGCTGGGTGTGGCCCACAAAGGGTTAAGCATGTGCTGGTGGGGTGAGGGGGGCCCTTTCCTGCTGGACACAGCCCCTCCCAACCCTATTGTTGCTGGCTCAGGAAGAGGCATGTTTTCCCTATGAGGTCACAGGCCCAGCCTGCCTGGGCAGCTCCTGACAGGGAGGTGCCCTGTCCCCCCTACTCCAAATGTCTTGGGCTCCCACCTCCCCTCCAGCCAGATCTCTTCCTTCTCTGCTGGAGCCTGACCAAAAGCTGCTCTGGTTGCCCCAAGTCGTAGCAAGCCTTCAAGACCAAAAGCAGTGTCACCTCCTCCAGGCAGCCTGCTCTGATGTCTCCCCCCTCTGGCCTTCTCCGCACACAGAGTCCCAGTCGAGGCCACATCAGTGCACTTAGACCAGCAACACCGCTGGCGTGTGCAGGACAAACAGACACAGGGGTGCGTCCGGGGAAGCCCTGGATCTGGAGCCAGGAATCCTGGCAGTGCCATTCCCCAGAGCTCCTCCCCCGAGAGCTTGTTCCTCATCTGAGGAGTGGGCAGTGTGAGCCTTGCCTCTTTGCTGTCTCTCTGTGCCGGCCTGAGGTCCCTGTGCCCTGCTGGCGGCTTTCTGCCCCGTCCCTGGTCTCTGAGGCCCTTTAACGGGGGAGGGGCAGTGGGCTGGCCTGTAACCGGTGGGCCTGGCTTTCCTGCTCATGCCTCCTAAGCTGGCATCCAGGGCTGTCCAGGCGCCACCCGCCTGCCCAGGGCCAGCCTCCTGGCAGGGCTGACAGCAGGAGATGGAGTCAGGGAGACCAGCCAGGCCAGCCCGCCCACAGCCCATCTCTGGGCGAGCTGGCATGCTCTGGCGGGGCGAGCTGGCATGCTCTAGCAGGGCGGGCAGGCTGCCTTCCGAGACATCCCAGGGCCCCCGGGAGAGCTGGAGCCTCAGTTTCCTCTTCTGTGTTGGTGGGGGTGCTTACTGCCTAGGGATGCTTTCTTTCCTGTCCAGCTCTCCACTCTGTCCCAGAGCCTGGACCAAGTGGGCCGCTGGGGGCGTGTGCTTTGAGTGAAGGAATAAACACAGGAACAAGCCAGTTCTGGGCCTTCCAACTCCCCCGGAGCAGGCCTGTGGGGGTCATGGCACACAGTGGATCCAGGTCTCTGGCGGGGGCCGGCGTCCTCCCAGGGTGGGGGCAGCGTCCTCGGCTGGCCCCTGGCAGCGCCCTGTGCCCTGCCTGCTCCTTGGTGCTTCCCACGCCTGTGCCCACCCACGCCCCTTGGCTCGCTGCCTCTCCGATTTCCCGCTTTTGGCAGATGGAGCTTCTTGGAGCCTCTTTCCCTCCCACTTGGCCTGGGGTGGGCAGTGGGGGAGGCCGGCCTCCCCCTGTCTCCTCACTGTGTTGTCCAGCAGCAGACCAGGCTGGGACAGCCCCTGCCGCCCGAAGCCTTGGGTTCTGGTTTCTGAAATCCTCCATAGATTTCGGAGGCTGCTTATGTTGGTAGAATATACATCCACAAAATGTATTGTTTTAACCGTTTTTAAGTGTACAGCTCAGTGGCATTAAGTACACTGCTGTGCAGCTACCACCACTGCCCATCCCTCCCCAAACTGAAACTTGGTAGCCGTGAGACGCGAGCTCCCTGTCCCCGTCCCCCAGCCTCCAGGTCTGTTTATTGGGCCTGCCAGACGTGCACCTGCCCCTGCTCCCTGGGGCCTGTGTTTCTGCCTCTAGAAGCCTTCCCATGCTGGGCCTGTCACGGGCATGGACACACCGTCCCTGCTGCACTTTTACATGGAGGCAGGGACCTGCAGAATAGGCTCTCGAGAGAGTTCCTCGGATGGGCGGACAGACAGATGGACCGATACTGCCTCTCACCAGGCTGGTGCAGCAGGGGAGGGTGCTGCCCTCTCTGGGGGCAGGGCTGGATGGGCATTGGTGGAAAGACAGACGGAACCCAGTGTGCACAGCTCTGGAAAGCAGGAGGGACCTTAGAAGCCTTTGCAGTAAATGCTTTTTCCTCTTGCCTCTTGGGCCAGATCAGATCGATTGTTTTTTATGAAAACACATAATTGTTGGAAAACTTTAGATTTAAGAGAGCTGAGCAGATCGCTATTGCTAGAGCATGTCATGGAAGGAAGAGGGGTCCTGACCGTAGGGACCACTCTGGGGGACGGTGTCCGCTCAGGAGGAGGGGCCCAGGACTCTCCTGGGGCGCACCTTTGTTGAGCCACCACCACTGCCCCCAGTTTGCAGCTCTTTGGGGTTTCCTCATTTCTGGGGTGTAGAAAGGGTTTGGTCCATGGTGGGTAGAAAGGGCGGGGGCCTCCATTCATGGAGCTCATCCTGCACCCTGCCCGCGCTCAGCTCCTCACACGGTGCTCCCCGTCAGCCTCCCTGACGACCCTCCGGGCGGCAGCGGCAACCCACTGTGCAGACGTGGACACCCAGGCCTGTCTGGCATCAGGCGGTGGTGCCTCCTGCCTGTGCCTCTGGTCACCACTCTGCATTTTCTGAGCTCCTGGTTTAGGGCGAGAGAGCTGCGGGTCCTGGGGACTGTGGTGAAGGGGGAAACCAAGGCAAGAGCGAACTGGCTGGTGCCTCCCTCCAGAAGACATCCTGGGGAGGGTCACAATGAGGCGCTTGGATGGGGACAGACCGGGGAGAGGCAGCACTGGCCGCACCCCAAGCCTGGGCTTTGGGGTCATGCAGGGCACTGTGGCCAGAGGTCTTGTGTGGACAGGGGTGCTGAGCTCTGTGCTGAGCCCCTCCTTCACCTCCGCCCCCCAGGGTGGAGACAGCCGAGGGGACTCTAACCATGGCCCAGCAGAACCACAAGGGGCCTGGAGCCCAAGGGCCAACCTGCCTCTAGCACTGGAGGGAGGAGTCAGCCATTGTCACCCAGGTGGCCTCCATGGAGAGCAGGTGCCCTCTGCATAGTCAGGATGTGTGTCCTGCCCTGGGAAGGCCTGGAGAAGTTGCTGGGAGGGGTAACCAGAGGCCCTGCTGGGGGGCTGTCTTCCTGGGTGGTAGGTTCTCGTCACAACCCACAGGTGGGACCCCGTGTCTGGCCGCTGGGTGGGTGCCAGCCCCGACCCAGACATTTTCACGGAAGAGTCGCTGCCAAGCAGCTTCTTCCCCAGCCTGGCTCTGTCATCTGGTCCCTTCATCACAGAGGGGACGATGTGGCCTGGCTTATTTTCAGAGTATCCAACTGTTTTGGCCCTGGCTGTCCAGAGTGGCTGCTGTAGCTGGATGATGGAGCTGTCGCTGGGCTCCCAGGCCTCACACTTGGGGATCTGTGGGGGCAGAGGGCGGATGTTGTCTGGCAGGCCCCCTCCAGGAGACTGCCTCTGGGCTCAGGCTTGGAACCCGCTCCCCTTGGTGTGAGACCCCAGTTGACGCCACCTCTGCTCAATCATGAAAGGTTGGGCCAAGGGGTCGGGTCGTTCAGGAAGGGAACAGGTGCTCAGGGTGAGAACTGGTGACTCACCCATGACCTGCCCTCTCCCGGGGTCTGGAGTAGGCAAGACTGGGTCAGCATGTGTCAGCTCCAGGAGGCAGCAGCGGTCTGAGGTACAGAGGGGACGGACGTGGCTCTGGCCCTGGGGATTCGCAGTGATGCCATGTACTGCTGGCACCCTTTGTGTAGTGCGTGGCACCCTCTCCAGCACCCCAAGAAGAGCTGATGGGGCCCTGGTTCCCCTGGGGGTGAGACCCACATCGTCAGCCTATTACCTCCTGACAAACCTCATGTGTTCTTGGGAGGAAACAGGCTTGGCTCACGAGTGGTGGGCAGGGACTCCTGCTCTCCGACTCCAGGTCCCCTGGCATCCCTAGCAGCCGCACAGCACTTCGTCAAGTTGGTGCCAGCACCTTGAAAATGTCAGCAAAGCCCTCTGGGGGAAGCCGTGTTGCTTGCGCCTCTGACACAGGCCCCAGTGTGGGGGTCTTCAGACCTGGGAGTTGGAGGCGGGCTCTGGTGACCTGGACAGGTCTCAGCCCCCGACACACAGAATAGATTGGCAGGCGCTGGGGCGGCGAGGGGGAATCAGGGGTGGTGGATGGCGTTGTGTCCAATGGCTCTGTGCGTGTGTTTGGGCTCCCAGAACCGGACACCAAAAAACGTCCGCTGTCCTTACTGCATGCTAATTAAAAGACTAAGATTTTAGAAAGGAAGAACAGCAAGTTAGAAAATCAGTCACAGCCTCAGGGTCCACCCACGGGAGGACAAGCACCTGTACTGTGCGTGCGTAAGAAACACAGGAAGACGGTAAACCTCAGATGTGTCGTGTTGGGAGCGAGAAGGTCACGTGAACGTAGGGATGCATGTGGCCTCGCGGGAGTGCCGAGCTTGGCACCTGGCAGCACTGTCCTGAGGGCCGAGGGGCTGGCCGTCCCCTTTGCCCACACATGCTGACCATCTGTCTCCTTCCACAGCCTGCCTGTTCCGCGTCAACGCACTCTCTCTGGTCTACCTGCTGTCACTGCTGCTGCTGCCCTGGCTCCCGGGCCCCACCCGGCACGGCGTCCCAGGTAAGGGGCTTGGTGGGAGAGGAGCTGGAACCCACTGCTCAGAGGGCTTTGTCCAGTGGACCCAGCCCAGTTCCCATGGTGGGAGGGGTATTGGGTATTTGGGGCAGAAACCTGTACCATGATGACCTACACTCAGTTTCAGCTGAGCCTTGGAAGACAGACCTGCAGCATGATGTCACAGGGGACAGTAGCAGGAGGGACAGAGAGGACCTTTCTTCCTGGGACCCTTGTCACCTGCCCCATAGGTGCTTAGTGCCAGTTTTGTGCTGGTTTTTCAGTGAAAGCAGCGGTCAGGGGCCCGTCCGCAAAGGCTGCTCAGCACCCTATGGGTAGGGAAGGGCCCCCAGCCAGCCTTTAGGGTTTGGAAGGTGAAGAGGCTTAACGGGGGTCCTCGGGGAGGTGTGTGTGTGAAGGACAACCAAGGAGGGCTGAGGGTTGGGCGAGGCCCAGGTGGGGCATAACTTCCCGGAACCCCTGGAGGGCCACTTGTGCCCACGGGCACTGCCCTTGTGGAGGCTCTGGGCACAGTGGACAGCTGCTCTGGGCCTGGGGGAGCTGCTGTCGTGTCAACACAGCTGAGTGGTGTAAAACCACACACTTTGGGGCTGGAGGTCAGATGTCTGACGTGGGTCTCACGGGGCTAAAGCCAAGGTGCCGGCAGGGCTGTGTGTTTTCTGGAGCCTCCAGGGGAGAATCGTGTCCCTGCTTTTTCCAGCTTCCAGACACTTCTGCATTCCTGGGCTCGTGGCCCCTCCTTCCTCCTTCAAAGCCAGCAGAGTCTGGTTGAATCTCCTTTACGTCCCACCTATAACAACCTTGTGGTTACCTGAGCCCACTGGACAATGCCGGATACTGTCCCTGATTACGGTTGCTGGTCTCAGCTGATGAGCAGCCTTCATTCCATCTGCTCTTCTAACTGCCCTGCGAGGTCCACATGTTCACAGGCTCCAGAGATTAGGATACGGCCGTCTTTGGGGTCCATTCTGCTGACCACAGGGTCACCCCCTCTCTGGCCTGTTGACATATGGCTCTGAGTACCCCTCAGGCTGCCTTCTAGCTCAGGGTGCTTTGGAGCAGGCACTGGTCTTGGAGCACGGGCAGGACTCAGGGGTGCAGAGAGCAGAGGAAGGTGTTTTGGGGAGGGCCCAGCACAGGCAGAATGCTGGGAGCCACTGGAGACTCAGGGCCAGACCCCTTCCAGGACTCACAGCTAGGGCTGGACGGGTGCCTCTCTCTCTCCTGGTCCCGATCCCAGGCCTCTCCCTCCCTCCACGGAGCCCATTCTGTCTTCTCCCAGGCCCTCGACCAAAAGCCACTTATTCTGTAAATACTTCATGCCCCGTGTGCGATTGGGAACACTTTTCTCTAATCAGTAGTGGGGGAGCTCAGCCTCCCAGCCAGACCAGGGGAGACCTGGAGACCCTGCCTCCCTGCCTGACCCTCCATGTGTCCATCTGTCCAGTCTCCGAGGCCCTTCAGGGACAGAGACGCTGCCCAGTTCTTCCAGGCAGTGGAGGAAAATGTGAGGCCTGGCTGAGCTGCCTGTGCCTTTATGGCTTACACAGCTGCCGGCCTTGGCACCAGCCCCTGGTGGAAGGTCTGATGCCACCCGTCCCTGGGAGCACTGCCCTGGCCCCGTCCCCACATAGGCGTCAGCCTGACCCTCTGGGGGCTGGGGGCAATCTGCTGGGGGTGGCCAGGCAGGGGCAGGGGCTGTCACAGAAGCTTCAGGGCTGCAGGCAGACCCTGGGGAGTCAGCTGCCAGAGAGCTGCATGGCATTTAGGGGCTCCTGGAAGCCCCATCCCTGCCTTAGAACAGAACCTACCTTTGAGGCTGCTCTCAGGAGAGAGATCCTCCCCACCCTTCACCCTCTGTACCCAAGGGGCCTGCAGTGGGGCCCTACCCTCTCCGCCATCAGCCTAGCTCAGCCCTGGAAGCCTCCAGAAGCCTCCCAGACCCCTGGCCTCCCTGCTGCGATGGCCTGGGCTGTAGCTCTGCTTTTGCTCAGCTGCCGTGTGAAGGTCCAGGTCCTGGGAGTCAGGGCCGCGGCTGAGAGGAGCGTGAGGATCCCCAGCATTTGCTGGGTGACGGGGTGAGGCTCTGCGAATGATTCTGTCATCCTCATGGCCACATGTTGGTGGCTGTGGTCCCAGCCCCGCTTCAGGGCCTCTCTCAGCCCCTACCCAGGACAGAGGTTGGTGCACAGCCCTCAACCGCTGTGCCCTGCTCCTGCGCTCGGTGACGCAGGTCACAGCCATGCTCCTTGGCCTCCAGGTTGATCCAGGTTTTGGTGCAAGGGCGTGTTCCTCTCAGCCTCTCCCCCTGTTGCTGGGTGGGTCTCATGGCACAGACCCCTCGTCTGCCCCCACCTCTCTAGACTCTCCTCCGTGTGTGTGTGGAGGGACCCCTCTGCAGGTGGTGCACAGGGTCCCTTGGCTAGTCTCACACACCACACGAGTCAGCCCTGCCCAGCTTGTGTCTGGAGAGTGATGTCTGCATACAGCTCTGCTGAGGGGTGGGCACCACAGCCCCGGGCAGGGGGTGAGGCCAGCTCAGAGGAAGGAGGTGCTGCCGGCAAGGGCTTCGTGGGTGGGCTTGGATGGGTCTTCCAGGCTGAAGAGGCAGCAAGGGATGGCCTGGGGGCAGAAGGTGGAGGTGCCTGAAATGCAGGAGAGGAGGTTGGGGTCCATGCTGAGGCGGGAGACGCCCCTGAGCTTTTGCAGCCTGGGCAGTGGTCTCAGGGGCTGTGGGTCGATAGATCCTCTGTACAGACCATGCCCCTGTCTGCGATGGCCTCCCCCTCCCTCCTGCGGGAAGGACCCGCCTCTCAGCCCACTTCCTGTTTCCCTAGAGAGCCTGCCAGAGCCTGAAGCCCCCCGTGGGAGCCCCTGCTCCTTTTTTTGGATGGGCAGTGGCCACACCGAGCCCCTCCCCACCGCAGATGGGGGTCGCCTGCCCTGGCAGTGGTGGCAGTGGGGGACAAGGACTGTGGGCGGATGGGCCGGGGCCAGACAGTGGTTCAGGAACAAAGGCTGAAGGCAGCAGCCAGCCAGGGCGGGCGGGTCCCTGGCTGGAGCCTCAGTCGCTCCCTTCCCCAGGATAGAGGAGCCGCTGTGGGCCGATGTGGCCTGTGATGGGAGCGTCCTGCCTGGGCAGGAGCCAGGTGGGGAGCAGGAACCCCCCCCCCCCCCCCCCCCCCCCCCCCCCCCCCCGCCCCGCCCCCCCCCCCCCCGCCCCGCCCCCCCCCCCCCCGCCCCGCCCCCCCCCCCCCCGCCCCGCCCCCCCCCCCCCCGCCCCGCCCCCCCCCCCCCCGCCCCGCCCCCCCCCCCCCCGCCCCGCCCCCCCCCCCCCCGCCCCGCCCCCCCCCCCCCCGCCCCGCCCCCCCCCCCCCCGCCCCGCCCCCCCCCCCCCCCGGCCTCCCCTCAGCCCAGCTGCTGCTGCCGCACTCGCCCCTGGAAGGGGCTACGGGTTGGGGCCCCTTGGCCTCCACGCAGGCCTCGGTCTGGGTGTCAGAGCTTTGTCTTGGTGGTTACACAGGCTGCAGCAGCCAGGCCAGGGGTCCGTGCAGTGGAAACAGTTCTCTAGTTGTCTGACCACGAGCTGGTGCTCTGAGCCTCAGTCTCCTCATCTGAAAGATGGGGAGTGTGGTAGCAGCCACCCCTGGGTCAGTGATGCAGGCTCGGGCGCAGTCTGAAGGCTGAGCAGGGCCCCCACCCAGCTAGCCATCTGGGAAGGGGATCGTAAGCTGATAAGTGGGCTTTTCCTGGAGTTGTCAACCCCACCATCTCTAGGTCATGATCATCTTTGCCAGGCCTGCTGCTGGTGAGCTGCCTTTTCTCCTCCCAGGTGGTTCCCACCATGCTGGGGCCCACAGGGCAGCAGGGGTGGTCGTCGCACCCCCACCCCACCTTGCTTCCAGATCCCACTGTGATCCACAGGTTCTGCAGGGTCTGGCCTAGAATGTCCCCCAAAGACCACTGCCCCTCTTCCTGCCACAGGGCCTTTGCATGGGCTGTTCCCTCTGCTCAGACCCAGCCCCACCCTCTGCCACTGAGCGCCACCTCATCCAGTTAGTGCCACCTCCCCTCGGACGTGCATCTCTGCAGGAACCTCCTCTGATCCCCAAGCCAGGTCCCCCCGATTTGCGTTCCCTGTGCCACCATGGTGGTCCCTGTGCTGTGGCATTTCTCGGGGTGTCACTCTCCCCAGCCAGATGGAGTCCCACAGGGCAGGGACTGGTCCTTCTGCAGAACATCCTGTACCTCACGTGCTTCATGATCAGGTCCCTGGAGAAAGGACAGGCAGCACCACCCCAGCGACTATAGCCACCAGTCACCTGATCACCTCCAGCGCCCCTCCCACTCCACTGTCAGAGGTGGAAGGGGCGACCATGTGCAAGACTCACAGCCCAGGTTCCAGGGGAGACTGGAGGAGCCCCATTTCCCCCATCAGGCTGCAGGCGACCATGCTGTTCAGAGGTGGAGGGGAGCGGGGCCTCCTGCCCAGGCACTCTCCTGCAGTACCTCCTGGCCGGCCGGACTTCCTGGCTCTGCAGAAGACAGGCAGGCATGGCAGGTGGGAGCCAGCACAGTGGAAGGTCTGAGCCAAGCAGGGGAGGAGGCCCCTGCTCCCATGGGTTCTGAGCAGGGAGGTGGGGGTGCTGAGCTCTGGAAGGTTCTGTCGTCTGGGAGCCCTGCACGGCCTCCCACTTCCCTCCTGTGGACTCCAAGCATCGGGCCCTGTGAGGGCTTTGGGCCAGATGTTCCTTTTGGCCTTTACCCCTCCTTCCCCCACCTTCCACTGCCTCCACCCTGCCCTTCCTCTCACCCTGCCCATTGCAGGTCAGAGGTTAGAAGGGTCAAAAGGTCAAGGGCCTGTAGGGACACTAGAAGGAGAAATCAGAGAAACTGGTGCAGGTCCCTCCGGGACTCCTCGCCTCGCTGAGCTGGGGTGGCATGTGTGGCTGTGACAGTCATCACTCCAGAAGGGACAGCTGAGTGTCATCCTCTGGGCCAGCCCTGGAGCCGAGGATACTGAGGCCAATTCTGAGTCTGTCCAACAAACATTGTTTGTGACCCCAAAACAGTGAACAAAACAGACACGGGCCCTGAGCCTGCTGGGTTCTGGGCAGAGAAAAGAGGGCCAGATATGATGGTGACATTTTTGCAGCCCCCAATCTGACCCTGTCTGTCCCCGAGCTCCAGGAGGTGGTGGGAGGAGCCTGTGCTGCTCCCTGCGTAGGTTCTCGGTGCTGGTGTCATCTCAGGGTCTGGCTGGGATGGCGCAGTGAGTGGCCAGCAGGGGTGAGGACCTGGTGGCTGCTACCGCCCCTGTCCGAGTGTGAGCTGCCCACCCACTTGCAGAGAGCAGAGGCGAGGCCAGGGCCCCTGAGGCCTCCTGTGCGGCCGCCCGGTCTCCTCCCTTCCCGCAGCCCAAGGCCTCCCTGCAGAGTGGACTAAGTCCAGAGCATCCCCAGGGACAGGGCCTGGCAGGACCCATGGTGGCTGGAGCAGGGCGCGGCTGCAGGGCACCATGTCCCACTAGGCACACGGTGCTGAGGGACGGAGGCTGCGGTCTGGGGCCACACCTGCCTACGCTCCGGAGCTCCCACTCTCAGCTTCTCCTCCCACGAAGTGATGAATGAAACAAGGTCTGAGATGCTCTCAGCCCCATCTGGCTGAATGTTCCCTAGGGACTGGGTACCACGTGCTGCACCACAGGAGCCTCTTAGCCCACAACAGCCCCACTAGGAGGCTGCTACTCACCCCACTTTTCTCCAGAGAGACCCTGGCCCACCCCCACTCCAGGCCACCTCTTCTCTGGGCACTCCCTTAGCGCCCTCCCCTTCAGTGTGTGCTGGGAGGCAGGCGGGCCATTGCTGGGGTCCGTCCCTCCTTTTGCATTCCCTCAGGGCTTGCAGAGCCAAGCAGTGACACAGATGTTTGCTACATAAGTGCACAGACCCACAGGTGTCTCCTCCAAGCCCAGAGGGCCTTTTCCTTTCTGTGCTGGCCTCTGTCCCCTCCTGCCTGCATCCCAGGAAGGAGCAAGGCCCAGGCAGCCGGGGGCCAGCACCAGCCCCCAGCCAGCCGGCTCCACAGGCTGCGCTTGGCTGTTCACTCATCGTGTGACCTTGGGCAAGCCCCTTCTCCACTCTGTGCCTAGTTCCTCTTCTGTAAATCAGGGGTCTTGATGGTGCCCACTCCGCAGGGCTGCTGGGAGTGGCCTGTGGGATGGCGTGTGAGGGGTGTCGAGCAGCCTTGCATGGAGCAAGTGCCTACCGAGGGTCACCACTGCACGAGGGTCACTGCTGTTGCTGGAAGCTTCAGCCACCTCCTGGGGGGGTACCGGCTATGGTGCATGCTGTGGGCCAGCCTGCTGGGATCCTGCAACTGTGCTGGATGTGTGTCTTGGGCCATGCGGACGTGGCCTGGTTGGGGGCTGTTAGCCCGGGTGGAATGGCCTTGGCTGGCCGCCCCCCTCCCATCCTCCTCGGGCTGTGTGTCAGCCTCATGCCTGCCTGCTCTGCCCGCAGGTCACACTGGCCGCCTGCTCCGGGCCCTGCTGTGCCTCAGCCTGCTCTTCCTGGTGGCCCACCTCACCTTCCAGATATGCCTGCACACCGTGCCCCGCCTGGACCAGCTTCTGAGGCCAAACTGTGAGTTGCTGGGGGCAGGGGGGCTAGGAAGAGAAGGGGGTGCCAGGGGATGCAGTCAAGGGAAAGGGGAGACCCCAATGGACTTTCTGAGCTAAACCGTAGGGCCTGCGGAGGGTGAAAGGGAGAGAGGCAGCCTCCACAACCCTGCAGGGACCTTGGGTCTCTTGGGGCGGTGACTTAGCCTCATCAGCTGCCCTGCCACCTGGGCTTTGCCTAGTGAGGACCAGCCCCTGAGCACTGGCCATGATTTATGTCCGGCCTGGATGGCCCAGGTGAAGCGCTGCCAGTAAGGACCTGGCCTAGGGGTCTGGGCTTAGCAGGGCTGATCCCAGAGCCAGCGTCCAGCTCGGGGACAGCCCTGGTCTTCTCGGCGGCCCTCCCTCTGTAAGCATCTCCTCGACTAACCTGGCTTACCACTGTGGCTCAGTGACTCTGCGAACTCCAGGCCCTCAAGGCTGCCCTGCCCACCCCCACTGCCCTGTGGACACTGTCTGCAGTTGGCCCCTGCCTCTTCCACAGACAAGGGTGGATGTCAGCACCCAGGCTTCAGATGCAAAAGCCCTGGGCTCCAAGTCCCTACCACCCCACCAGGGGCGTCCTGCTCTACCACGCAGGTGGGCAGGCAGGCGGCTGTGGCCTGTGTCCTTGTCTTCATTCTATGAAGATTTTCCTCCTGCTGTTTGGAACCTGAAGCTGGAGAGGATCTTGGTGGCCTCTGTCAGTGGCAGCTCTGAGACCGGGCCTGCCCGCTTGGCCCCACTGTCTGCACCCAGGAGCGGTGGAACTGGGCTGAAAGTCCTGAGAGCCCAGACCACCCTGTCGGGTCTTGTCCGGCCGTGTCTCGGCTGCACGCTGCCCGGCGGGGCCAAGAATCCCTATCTGCCACTCAGGACTGATGAGGCCTTCAGTCAGCCCAAGTTTCCCTGGCTGGGCCTCAATTTCCCTATCAGTAAAGGCAGCGTTTTCAGGCATCCCTGAGACCAATCATGGGCATCCTGCAGACATGAGGTGGGCTGCTTGGCTCTCCCTCCCTGATCTGGTTTCCCCTGTGCCTTTCTCTGCAGGCAGCCACTGGGAGACCTTCTTCCAACATGTAGGGGTCACGAGGTAAGACACCCCCTGACCCTTGCACCAGCCTTAGAGGACTTCCCAGGCCCAAGAGAGGGTCAGGGAGGACCCGGAACCATCCACCACGCTGATGTCCTCCAGCCCCCGCGTCCTCGGAGGCCCACCCCCCATACCCCTCCTTGCCCTTCACAGGCTGGACCTGAAGGACATCCCCAACACCATCCGGCTGGTAGCCCCCGACCTGGGCATCCTGGTGGTCTCCTCTGTCTGCCTCGGCCTCTGCAGGCGCCTCACACGGAAAGCCCAGCAGAGCCAGCGTGCCCAAGAGCTGGTGAGGGTGGTGGGCGCTGGTCACGTGTGTTGGGGCTTCATTCTAGAGCTGTGGTCCCAGCCATCTGAGGGACTGCTGTTGTTTTTTTCTTAACAAATGTAGACTCTTTAGTTGTAAGAGTGAGTATGTGCTACTTATGAAGAGCGGAGATGCCGAAGGAGAGAGGAGGTTCAAGTCCGTTCCTGGCCCTCGCAACAGGGCGGGGTGTCCACATGAGGCGTGTTCCTACCAGGGCTCCGTCTCTGGTTGGAAACATTCATGGACCCCAAGACAGTGTCTGTGCTCTTGGAAACTGTTCGTGGGGGGATTTATCAAGGCCAGGAAGCAGCAGGAATCGGCAGTGCAAGAAGATGGGTCTGTGCTAGAGAGCACCCGTGGACAGACGCCTGAGAAGCTGGGGGCCAAGGCCCTAAATCAGAGACTCTGTCTCTGGAGGGAGAGGCAGGGTCAGCTCAGCTGCCACGAGGCTTAAGGGTCCAGCCCTGGGAATCCTGGGCTCCCAGCTGCTCCCCATGGGCAGGGCGTGACTGTCGAGGTCCTGGATGTCCTCCACTGCTGAACAGCTCTGCACGTCCCTGCACGAGGACTCTGGTCACACGCCCAGCCCAGGCCTGCTCCTCCCATCCCCCACTCCCGGCCTTGGCCTCTGCCTGATGGGGCCTGGTCCCCAGGGCTCAGCCGGGATTTATGACCATCCGTGTGTCCTGGCACATAAACTCCCTGCCCGGAAGGCGCCAGGGAACATGGGCTCCTGCCACCTCACCTGTGTCCGTCTGTCAGACATCTGACACTTGTCAGGCACGTGGGCCTCAACTGCCAGAGGAGCCAGAGAGGGGAAGGCACACCCCAAAACCACACAGCAGATCAGGGCAGGGCAGCTCAGCCTGCAGCTGGCCTGGCCTGCTGTCCTCCCTATCCCTGTCCCCGTCCTGCAGGGCAGAGCTGGCACCACCTTTTCAGAGGTAGAAACGGGCCTGGAGGTCAAGTGGCTTTTCCAGGCATTTGGCAGGAGTTTAGCCTAGGCCTCCTGGAATAGATTCACTGAGAAGGGGTGGGCAGGAGGGGAGAAAGGCCAGCCCCCCAGAGCACAGGGCTCTCCAGGTGGCACCTGGGCTGCTGGATTCTTGTCTGCAGGTGACCCCAGACAGGTCACCTTCATTTCTGAGCCATCCTGCCAGGCTCTGGCGTGGCCAGTGTGGACAGACTTCAGAGTGAGAGGTGAGGGGTACTGGGCACACCTGGGCACCTACAGGGCACAGTTCTAAAACCCAAAGTGAGGAGCTCCCAAACATGACTGCACGTGTGACACTGACTGGCAGGGTCCACGAGCACCTGGCCCACAGGGACACTCTCGCTCCAGGTGCATGCACATGTGTGTGACAACATGCAGCAGGGTGCAGAGGCGGCTGCAGGTGGGACAGGAGAGGCATGTGGAGATGTTTTCCAGGGCGTTCCGAGGGACCTGCCGGGTCAGGGTTGGCTGGCCTGGACGCCGCGGGTGGGGGCAGGCACCTGTCCTTGGACCAGCAGCTGCTCTGTTCTTTCCTCTCCCAGAGGCACTCACGTTCACAGTGTTTCTCAGAAGGTTTCCCAGGGCTGGGGCCAGGCTGTGGGCGGGTGGCAGCAGGCCTGGCTGTTGTGTTTTCCTTCCAGCCCCTGGCTCCTGATTCTGGGGTGTGAGGGGACAGCCCTGGCAGGAGGGGAGCTCCTCGAACCTGACCAGTCTCACCTTCAGCTGCTGTGTGGTCTCAGGCCCCACCTGCCCTTCTTGCCCCTGCTCCCAGGCTTGGGTCTGCACCCCTCCTTGGGCCTCCTCAGCCCCCTGGATTCCTGTGAGGGCAGGATCTGTCGGTTCATCTCTCCTTTCCAGTCTTCACCCCCCATTTTACAGATGGGGAGAGTCAGAGAGGTTGAGTAACTTGCCTAAGGCTGCACAGCATGGAGACTGTTGGAGCTGGGAGAGGCCGGTTCTCCTGGCTCCAGAGCCTGTGCTCTCAGCCCAGGCACCTTATCCCACCCCAACAACTAGGAAAGGGCAGGCAGGGTGCCCACGGGGCCGCCAGCCCGGGACATCTGACGACAGAGGCTATGTCTTTCCACCACGCCCTGGCTGTCTCCATGTCTGGGAAATAGCTCCGTTATGGGAAATCCTTACTCAAGGCCAGGAAAACAGGCTTGTCAGGTCTCTGTCCCCCCAACCCAGGCAGGTGCTGTCCCTTTTCTTCCAGGGCAGTCAGTCACCTCCATCCCTCCAGAGGGTCTGTGAGGGCAGGAGCACCCCCCACCCAACCAGGATGCAGCTTGTTTCTGAGGGGGGGACAGGGGAAGGGCTGGCCACAAGGCTGTTGGGGGAACCCAGGAGACCCTGGTGCCTGGCTGTGTCCCTCAGGGCCCCCTTACTCCCCAGAGACCCCACATGGTGCCAATGGGACCCTGCTCTCCCTGGGTATATGGTTTGGGAGAGTCACCTGTCCCCTCTGAACTTGTTTCCAATCCCGTGGGACCCACTATAGAGGGTCTGCAAGTGCCCTGTGAGCTGAGGTGTGGTGCAGGGTGTGAGCAGCTGCTTGCTTTCCCAACCCCTTTAGCGGCTTCAGGGACAGATGTGGGAATCATGGCGCCCTCCCTGTCCTCCAGGGCCTGGTGGTCTAGATGGGGAGATAAAGAGATGCTCAAGGTGTTCTGGAACACTCCACGGTCAGCCTACACCAGTCAAGGACTGTGTGTCTTGGGGTGGGCAGGAAGGCCCACCGGCCCGTGAACTTGAGCGAGGAGGCAGGAAGGTGGTGGGCGGGCCTCTGGGCAAGGGGGACAGCTGGGGCCATTGGAGGGACAGCTGCAGTGTGGCGGAGCAAGGTCGACCTCACCCCAGCGCTCCCAGCTGGGCGGACGTGGGGCTGGAGTGGTGGCCTCAGAGCTGGGAGCCTGATCTCCCCACTCCCCGTGACCTTGGCAGGATGATGACGAGAGGGACATGGACAACAACACCCTGGCAGAGCTGCAGGGAGCTCCTACACTGGCCCCTACTCGGAGGTCACGGCTGGCTGCCCGATTCCGGGTCACAGCCCACTGGCTGCTGGTGGCTGCTGGGCGGACGCTGGCTGTAGTGCTGCTCGCACTGGCAGGTACCCACTGAGGCAGGGGGCAGGGCCCCAGCACTGTCACCCTGAATGGGTCTGGGAGCTCCTGATGACCCAGGAGGCGGGGGGTCATGCGCCCTGGCTGGGCTGACCTTGTGCACCCCACCCGGCCCGGCAGGCATCGCCCACCCCTCGGCCTCATCCAGCGTCTACCTGCTGGCCTTCCTGGCCCTCTGCACGTGGTGGGCCTGCCACTTTCCCATCAGCTCCCTGGGCTTCAGCGCTCTCTGCGCCATGGTGAGCTGCTTTGGCGCCGGGCATCTCCTCTGCCTCTACTGCTACCAGACACCCTTCGCCCAGGCCATGCTCCCACCTGCCAGCATCTGGGCCAGGTGAGGCCGTGCCCGGACAGCCCCCGGTCCTTGCTCTTGCCCTGGCCCTGCCCCGTTGCCTCAGCCATCAGTGACAGGCTTTCTCTGGGCAGGGTGTTTGGTCTCAAGGACTTCGTGGGCCCCCACAACTGCTCCAGCCCCAATGCACTGGTGCTCAATGCCAGCCACGATTGGCCGATCTACGTGAGTCCCGGCGTGCTGCTGCTGCTGTACTACACGGCGACCTCCCTGCTGAAGCTCCGCAGGCACCACCCCACGGGCCAGGTGCGTGCCTTCCCTCCACTTTCTTGGGGCCTGCCTGGGGTGCGTGGGCTGAGCTCCCGGCTTTGGTCTCCGCAGAGGAAGGAGGAGGCTGTGGGGGACGAGGAACGCGAACTGGAGCTGGATGAGCTGGACCAGCAGCCCCAGGGCCAGGCGAGGGCTGCTGCTGCCCAGGACAGGGGTGCCACCCAGGTGAGGAGTCCGTCTGCGCATTGGGGGTATGGTTGGAGCCGTTGGCGTGCTGCTTACCTGAGTCCTCTATAGCCCGTGACGCCCACGGGGCCAGGTGCTGAGGCCGACAACTGCATCGTGCACGACCTGAGCGGCCGGACCCCCACCCAGCAGCACCCCTGTGAGTACCACGCACAGACCCGCGTGGGGACACCCCACCCTCCCTCAGGCACACGCAGGCATGCTGTGGTTCCCCAGATCCTGGGTCCTATTGGGCAAGGCCAGTGCTGCCCCCTGGTGGCCACTAGGTGGTCTGGCGCGTCCGCCCACTGCCTCTCCTGCTGGCTCCCGAGACCTGAGGGGGGCTCCAGCTCTCCCAACCCCTGCCCCGAGGACTTGGCTGCTTGGCCCTGGCTCAGAGGCTGCCGTCCCAGGCAGATGTGGCCTGGAAGCTGCGTGTTGACGCTATTGCCGTGTGCAGGGGATGGGGACTTCTGGGTGCTCTTCACCCTACACCTTGGTTTCCGTGTCATGATTTGAATGAAGCGGATGAAGTTGCTGGCCTTGGGGGTGGACACCCTGGGGATCTTGTGTGCACAGAGCTGGAAGGGGGCAGGGGCCCTCTTGTGCATCCTTTCCTTTCAGGGTCTTAGAAACTGAGGCCCAGAGGGGCAGGAACAGGCCAGGGTCACACAACATTTGGGAACAGAGTCAGACCCACCATTGTCGCCTGCTGGGCCCTGGCCTCCCGCCCTGCCGTAGCCTACTGTCCACATTTTAGGGCAAAGCCAGGTGAGGTGAGGGACTCCAGAGCACCCCACTTTGGGGCTTACCTCTGCCCCCCACCCCCAGTGCGTCCCAGGCTGACTGAGCCTCGAGAGACGTCCCCACTGCAGGGCCTGGGCCACCTCATCATGGACCAGAGCTACGTGTGCGCCCTCATCGCCATGATGGTAAGAGTAGCTGCTGCTGGCACCTGCCACAGGCTTTCCCACAACGTGCCGGGAGGTGGGATGGCAGCTGAGGCCTTGTCCTCAGAGACAGAGCTGTGGCCCACTGGGCTGGGAGTCGCCCTCCCGCCCACAGGTGTGCATGCAGTGTGCGTGTGTGCACGTGTGGTGTGCGTCCTGTGCTGCTGAGCTCCGGGCTCAGCGGGTATGTTCCCCTCCTGCATGAGCATCACTGTGGCGGGCTGGGTGAGCAGGGTGGGTGCAGCCGGATGCACTCATCTCCTGCCCGTTGCCCTGGCTGCCCAGGTGTGGAGTATCACCTACCACAGCTGGCTGACCTTTGTGCTGCTGCTGTGGGCCTGCCTCATCTGGACAGTGCGCAGCCGCCACCAGCTGGCCATGCTCTGCTCGCCCTTCATCCTCCTCTACGGGCTGGTGCTGTGCTGCCTGCGTTATGTGTGGGCCATGGACCTGCGCCCCGAGCTGCCCACCACACTGGGCCCTGTCAGCCTGCGCCAGCTGGGGCTGGAGCACACCCGCTACCCTTGCCTGGACCTTGGCGCCATGGTGAGTGAGTGTCTGCCTGCCACACCCGGGTGCTGGGTTCCATCCGATGACCTGCAAGGACGATGCTGTGCCATTCACTGTCCACTCACCTGTGGATGGAGGCTCTGGGAGGGCAGGGCCAGGTCCAATGGCCACTACAGGGCCCCCAACGGCCACTGGGGGCCAGTCCAGAGTAGTTGCTCAATGAGCATTTGGGGAGTGGGCGCCACCCTGTGTCCCTGATGCTGAGTGTCAGCGTGCAATGTGTCTGTCAGACATGGGCTCCCTTAGCCTCCCACACAGCCCTGGGTCTCAGTGGCTTGTTGTCTGCGTCATCGTGTTCATGGGCACCCATGTGTCCCTGTGTGAGACAGGCATGTGCCACAGTGCTGTCGCATCTGTCACGTTTGCAGGCCAGTGAGTTGTATGTCATCACGTGAGACTTGTGAACCTGTGTGTGCAGACGTGTGTGCCAGCGTGTGCACCCATGTGAACATGTGAGTGCACACGCATGCATGTGTGAATCCATGGCTGTGCAAATGTGTGAGCCTGGGTGTATGTGTAAACATTCCAACATATGTAAACTGTGTGAACACGTGAGCCTGCGAACGTGACACTGTGCATGTGAAACCTGTGTGCGCACATAGGTGTGTCTGTGGCTCTGCGGATGTGTGCTCCTGTGCAAACACAAGTATGTGTGTAAGCATGTGAACCCATGTGTGAGCATGTGCGTGTGCACGCATACATGTGAGTCTATGGCTGCACATGTGTGTGCTCCTGTGCATGTGTGCAAGTATGCGTATGTGTAAGTGTGTGAGCCCATGTGTGATCCTGTGCGTGTGAGCATGTGTGTGCATGCATACGTGTGCATCTGTGGCTGCACACGTGTGCTTCTGTGCGTCTGTGTGTGCACCTGTGTGAGTTGGAGAGCAGAGTTGTGGCTGGAGGGAGGCTGGTGCAGAGGGGCTGGTGCCGGCTGCGTCCCTGCCAAGGGCTCCCCCTGGCCCCACATCGTGGCTGGGCCCTGCCTGTGGGAGGGGGTGCTGGGCCCCCCAGCCCTCAGTGATAACCCCCACCTTTCCCAGTTGCTCTACACTCTGACCTTCTGGCTCCTGCTGCGCCAGTTTGTCAAAGAGAAGCTGCTGAAGAAGGCGAAGGCCCCTGCTGCACTGACGGAGGTCACCGTGGAGGACACAGGTGAGTGGTGGGGCAGAGGCAGGGGGCGCCCCACCCCCGCCAGCCTGACGCCATTGCCCTGCTTCCTGCAGAGCCCACGCAGGCGCGGACACTGCTCCGGAGCCTAGGGGAGCTGGTCAAGGGCATCTACGCCAAATACTGGATCTTCGTGTGCGCCGGCATGTTCATCGTGGTGAGCTTCGCCGGCCGCCTCGTCGTCTACAAGATCGTCTACATGCTCCTCTTCCTGCTCTGCCTCAGCCTCTTCCAGGTGCCTGGGGGGACGGAGTGGGGCCCGGTGCACAGGGGCCCTGCTGACGCCCTCACTGCTATGTCCCTGTCCCTACTGGCAGGTCTACTATAGCCTGTGGCGGAAGCTCCTCAAGGTGTTCTGGTGGCTCGTGGTGGCCTACACCATGCTGGTGCTCATCGCGGTCTACACCTTCCAGTTCCAGGACTTCCCCATGTACTGGCGCAACCTCACAGGCTTCACCAACGAGCAGTGAGTCTCAGCGGGTCAGCCGGGCTGCGTTGGGCTGTGTGATTTTTTTTTTTTTTTTAAAGAAAAGATGACCAGTAAGGGGATCTTAACCCTTGGCTTGGTGTTGTCAGCACCATGCTCTCCCAAGCGAGCCCCAAACTGGCCCCTCTGGGTGAGGTCTTGTGTAGGGCCATGTGGGGCCCATGCCCCCTGCTCACCTCCTCGGGGCCACAGTGGCTCCCCGCACGCCCGCCCCATGTCCCATGGTGCTGCCTGGCAGCTGCATAGGTAGACCCCAGGGGTGTGGGGCTGGGCCAGGGCTAACGCCACCCCTGATGCCACCCTGTCCCCGCCAGGCTGGGTGACCTGGGCCTGGAGCAGTTCAGCGTGTCCGAGCTCTTCTCGAGCATCCTCATCCCCGGCTTCTTCCTGCTGTCCTGCATCCTGCAGCTGCACTACTTCCACCGGCCCTTCATGCAGCTCACGGACCTGGAGCACGTGCCTCCAGCCCACAGCCGCCGCCTGGGCTGGACTCACAGGTGTGGCCGCCACCCTCCCCAGCAAGCGGACCGAGCCTGCCGCTGCCTCCGATGGCTGCAGGCTCCCACCTCGGCTCATGTCCCACCAGCACCGGCACAGACACAGATATAGGGAAGAGTTCCCTCTGGGCGGGGCAGCAGGTGGGTGGGATTCAGAGGGGAGCCAGGGCCTCTGTATGGCCTTCAGATGCTGAGGGCCTCAGGCACTGCACCTTTTCTCACAGCTTGTGGGACTGGGGGCCGTGTGAGCGTCATGGGGACTGAATGTCAGCTGACTGCATGCACCTGACCTGGAAACTACAGCAGAAACAGAACGAGGGTCACTGAGCAGAGGGGCGCAGGCGAGGCTTCCTTCAGCCCGGGGTGCAAGAGCGAGGGTGGGAACGGACAGAAGTGACCCCTTTGGCCCCTCCCAGGCAGGATGCAGCAAGCACGGCTCCGCTGCTGCAGCAGGAGCAGGAGGTCCCCGGGGATCAGGAGCTGGGCACAGCTGGCCCCTACCAGGACACACAGGTCTCTGAAGGTAAGTCAGGCCAGGCAGACCACAGCCCCAGCAGGCAAACCGGTGCTGAGGACCTGGGCCCCAGGTCCCGAGTCCGCTGCCAGGTCCCTGCAGTGGGACGTTGACACAGTCCCCTCTGAGCCGCAGGAGCCTCGTCTGTGCGCGGGACCCTCCTCACTGCTCCTGCCATTCCACAGGCACAACCAGCAAGTGGGGCCTGGTGGCCGAGCGGCTGCTGGACCTGGCTGCCGGCTTCTCAGCCATCCTCACCCACGTGCAGGTGCTGCTGCGGCGCCTGCTGGAGCTGCACGTCTTCAAGCTGGTGGCCCTGTATACCGTCTGGGTGGCACTGAAGGAGGTGGGTACCGGCCACCCTGAGCTCCGCTTCCGTGTCTGAATCGTGCCCCTCCGGCTCAGCCTCACTGGCCTCCCTGGAGCCCAGTCAACTGCCATCCCTCCCTGCAGGTCTCGGCGATGAACCTCCTGCTCGTGGCACTCTGGGCCTTCGCCCTGCCCTACCCCCGCTTCCGGCCCATGACCTCCTGCCTGTCCACCGTGTGGACCTGCATCATCATTGTGTGCAAGATGCTGTACCAGCTCAATATTGTCAACCCCCACGAGTACTCCAGCAACTGCTCCCAGGTCTGCCCACCACACCAGCCCCCATGGGCGGTGACCGCAGGAAGCTCCAGGCAGCTCCATGCTCCCAAACCCACCTTCGGGGCTGCTGCTTCGGCTCAGGGTGGTCAGCGATGGGTGCAGAGGGGCCATCCCTTGGGGGGTGGGGGACTTCCTGGGAGAGGTGTCTTTAGACCTAGTCTGGGGGGGATCGGAGGCTGACTTCCCTGACGCTGAGGTTTCCTCAGGCTCAGAGGTGTGTCCTGAGTGAGTGGGTCCCCTGATGAAGGTCATGGGGTGAGGGGCACTGAGGTCAGAAGCCTCCTGCAGTGAAGAGGGAGAGAGGCTGTTGAGGACAGTCCCTGCCTATGGCCTCCCTGTTTCCCAAACACCTGGTACCCTCACCTGTTAAAGGTGGCTCCGAGGCCAAGAGCTGCCACGCGTCCCCTGGCTGGGGCAGCTGAGGGTGTGGGGTAGGACTGGAGACAGGGCTGGTGGTCTTGCCCCTGCCCACCCGGGTTCCAGCCTGGGAGTGGGTGCTGACACCTGTTCCTCCCTGCCAGCCCTTCCCCAACAACACCAACCTGCAGATGACAGAGATCCACCAGTCCCTGCTGTACCGGGGGCCCGTCGACCCCGCCAACTGGTTTGGGGTGCGGAAGGGATATCCTAATCTGGGTTACATCCAGGTGAGTATGGAGGGCAGGTGGGGCGGAGCAGGGTGGGCTGGCCAGGCTGGTGGGGCAGGTGGCCCCTGACTGTCCCACCCTCTACAGAACCACCTGCAGGTGCTGCTGCTGCTGGTGTTTGAGGCTGTGGTGTACCGGCGCCAAGAGCACTACCGCCGGCAGCACCAGCTAGCCCCCCTGCCCGCCCAGGCTGTCTTCGCTGACGGCACCCGCCAGCAGCTCGACCAGGACCTGCTCAGCTGCCTCAAGTACTTTGTCAACTTCTTCTTCTACAAGTTCGGGCTGGAGGTGAGGCCGGGGCGTGTGCCTCCTGCCCTATCTGGGTGGGGCTCGGCCGGCTGTGGGGTTCTGCTGAACCTCTGCAATGTGCACCTGTGTGCAGTCCCCCCCCTCGGGGCTGCCTGGGGTACAGAGGGGACCCAGAGGAGGCAGGGAGCCGCTGGGGCTGGGTCCTTCCTGGGAGGAGGAGGCGTGGGTGCATGAGGACGGGGCCTGGGTTAGAGCCTCGCTGCGTGGAGTGCAATGCCCTGAGTCTCGGTTTCCCTGGCATGTAGAGACATGTCCAGCCTCCCCAGTGCTCCCAGGTGGGTGGTGTGAGCCGTCGTGAGCCTCGGCTGCACTGAGCCTGCCCCGGCTTCCAGGTTGGCTGTGGCCCTCTGAGCCTGCTGCCTGCTGGGGCCTGAGGCAGGCCAGGGTGGTCCCTTCCCCCCAGCACAGTCCATCCCCTATATCCCCCCCCTCACGCCCCCAGATCTGCTTCCTGATGGCCGTGAACGTGATTGGGCAGCGCATGAACTTCATGGTCATCCTGCATGGCTGCTGGCTGGTGGCCATCCTCACCCGCCGGCGCCGTGGGGCCATCGCCCGCCTCTGGCCCAACTACTGTCTCTTCCTCACGCTCTTCCTGCTGTACCAGTACCTGCTGTGCCTGGGCATCCCGCCAGCCCTGTGCATTGGTGAGTAGGTGGCGCGTGTGCAGTGTGGGCTTTGTGGCCGCGTGGAAGCCGTGGGGGTGTTTCCCGCCTACCCTGGCTCCCATCCGCCCTCCTGGACTTGGCTGTGGCACTCCCCCTGCCCCCTTGCCCCTGCACAGCCTGGCCCCAGTGAGCCCATCCCCACAGTGTGTTCCCCCCACGGGTTGCACCCCCTGCAGCTGTGTTGTCTCTCTGGGGTGGGACCTGGCCTCCTGCTTGGTCTCTCTGCATCCGTTGCTTTCTTTTCCTTTTTTGCCCAATATTCTATTGGGAAAATTTTCAAACCTTGAGAAAAGTTGCAAGAATAGTATAAGGAACACCTATGTGCTCTCTCTGGCCATATGAGAGTTAGTCGTGACACTTCATGCCAAATGCTGTCTCAAGCATGTGTCTTCAGACTGGGACATCCCTCTGTGATCGCAGCATGGTGGCCATTCACAGCAGTCCATCTCTGGCAGTACCGTCATCTAACATGCTGTTTGCATTCAAACCGCCCCATCCACACAGCAACGCCCTTTGTAGTTGTTTGCTTCTGATGGAGGATCCAGTTGGCATCTGCATCGAGTTTTTCATCTCCTTCGCTCCAGACTGTCCCCACCTCTTGACTCTCGTGACATTTCTAGAGAGCCAGGCCAGTGGTTTTGCAGAATGCCCTGAGGTCTGCATTTATCTAGCTGTTCCCAAATGCTCGGCTGCTGGTGAATACCTTGGACAAGAATGACACAGGATGGGATGGTCTGGCATGGCTCAGGGACGTGGTGTTGGCACAACCCACAACCTGGGTGTCAAGTTCATCTGTCTGGCTTGTTCAGAGTGTCCCCACTGGCCCAGTGCCTTGATGCTCCAGACGTGCAGAGTCCTTCCCCACACTGGTTCCCGGTGTGGTTAGCTGCAGGTGATTCACAAAGTGGGATTTTCTGTTTCTATTACCTGGACACGCTCACCAGGTGGCCTTTCTGTCAGGGAGCGCTGTCCCCGCTGCCCTTTCCTCATTACGTGTTTCCTCTTTCTGAGTGTGTGGTAGCCCCTCCTGCCGTCACGTTCATGGCCACTGTGTAGATCCGGCCCACACGACCCCTTCAGACGGTGCTTCTGACATGCTTCGTTAGTGTTGCTCAGAGTTGGGTCCAACAAGGCGCAGCGTCCACAGCCAGAGTCTCCTTCTCGGTGTCCGGCACCCAGGAACCCCCTGTCCCATGGTGGAGCTCCTGTTCCAGCCACCTCTAATTTTGCCTTTTCTGGAATGTCTCAGAAATGGGTTTACACAGCGTGTCGCTGTCTTTCAGGAAGCAGAATGTGTTTGAGACTCACCCAAGTCTAAAGATCAGTTGTTCATCACTTTTTGGTTTTTTTGTTTTTAACTTTTTGCATAGACTTACCGAAGAGCTGAGAAGCCCCCAGATACCCGTCACCCGCTCTTCCCTAGCATCCGCCTCTTACATAAGACAAGGACCAAAACTAAGCAGGAAACTCTGGTGTGGATCTCCCAGCTGGCCACAGAACTGCAGGCTTTCTGCGTGTCTCACTGGGCCTCCCAGTCGCCCTCCTGACCCAGACCCCCGCAGGACCCCACGTGGCATTTGGCCATCCTGCCTTCTTTGTCTCCTCCTGTTGGGGGCAGTTCCTGGCTTTCCTGGTCTTTCATACTTTATGATTTTTGAGGTTCCCTGGCCATTGTTTTGTAGATCGTGCCTTAGTTTGAGATTATCTGATGACTTTCCATTGGACCCGGTTACTTGTTTGGGGCAACAGTTCCACAGGGGTGACACGTCCTTCTCAGTGGGTCATGTTAGCGTCAGCGTGTCTCATTACTGGTGACGCTGCCCTTCAGCACTAAGGCACTGTGGTGTCTGCTGGGTTTTTCCATGTGAAGTCAGTATTTTTCTCTTTATAATTAATAGGTATTTATTAGTAAATATTTACCTTAAGACTGTGCAAATATCCTGTTTCTCCTTAAACTTTCACCCACCAATGTCACCATCTGTCGGTGGATCTTGCCTGTAGCAATCATCCGTCTGGTTTTCTATAGTACTCTTCCGGCATGTTTTTCTTCTTTGGTGGCTGGCCAGCTCGGGGATCCACACCCTTGACCTTGGAGCTATCAGCACCAGGCTGTCATCGACGGAGAAGCCGGCCAGCCCTTCACTGGTTTTCTGATGGTGACTTCGTGCTTCTCTGCTTAGTTGTTGGTGTCTTCTGTAAGGGAGTGTGGTCCCCGCTCCCCGTCTGTGTGTTCGTTCAGGTATCTGTGTCCGCGTGGCACTGTTTCCTTCTCTGGGATCTGCTGCGGTGCCATCCATCTGCTCACCTTGTCCCGGCTCTGGCCCCTGGGGTGGGCTGGCTTCTGGCCCTCTCCATGTGCCGTGCCAGCCTTTTCAAGCACATCCATGTTTTCTCTCGGGTGCTCCTGCCTCACCCTGGGCTCCCTGCCCACCCTGAGGCCAGCCATGCTCCATGAGCCCCAGTTCCCTTTCAGGAGAGTGAGATTTCCAGACCTGGATCTGGGTGCTCGTAGCCACAGGGGCCACTGCTTCTGGGTCCTCTTGGCTGATGGTGCACAGCTGTCTTCACTGTTTCTAAAGTTCCTGAGGTTGGCTTCTTTCTTCCTTTCCCCTCTGGCGAAAAGGTGTGTCGTACGAAAGGTGTGTGGTAGGAACGTAATCCAGTCTGCACTCCGCCCTGGGCTGCCCAACATCCAGGGGGAATCTGTTTTTTGAGCGTAGTAAAATTCACCCTGTGGTATTCAGTTCTGTGGATGTTGACAAAGGCACAGGCTGTGTGTTCACATCCACAGCCCTCAAGAGACATCCCCACCACTGGAGTGTTCCAGTGCGACCCCTCTGCCCTCAGCACCCCCCACACCCAGCAACCACTGATCTGTTTTCTGTCCTTATTGTTTTGTCTTTCAAGAATGTCCTGGGGGCCGGCCCGGTGGCGCACTGCTGTAGTGCGCCGCTTGGGAAGCGCGGCGGCGCTCCCACCGAGGGTTCGGATCCCACATACAGACCGGTTCCCGCTCACTGGCTGAGCGAGGCATGGGAGCAACACCGAGGGCTGCGATCCCGTTGCCGGTCCCGGTCCGGTACGGGGGCGACACTGAGGGTTGCGAACCGTTGCCGGACACGGAAAAAGACAAAAAAAAAAAAAAAGAATGTCCTGGAAGCAAAATCACTCAGCATGTAGCCTTTTGGTTCTAGCTTCTTTCATTTAGCAAAATGGATTTAAGATTCATCTAGGTTGTTTCAGGCATTGATACTTTGCTGCTGAGTCATATTCCAGGGATGTGTACCTTGGTTGTTTAACCTGTCGCCCACTGAAGCGCATCAGGGTTGTTTCCAGCTTTGGGCTATTATTATATTACATAAATATAAATATAATCTTACTCGTGTTATCATATCATGTATCATCTGAACCACGACGCATTCCAAATGCCGCCTCTTGTCAGAGAGGCCTGCCCCACCCACCCCATCTCAGGTGAAGTCACCTGCCCATCTCTGGCCTGTCACTCAGTTCCTTTCCCCCAGGGAGCCTGGTGCACTGTTTACGTCAGAATGCACTGGAATCTCTGGGCTTGGGAGCTCTCAAGCCTCCAAGTGTGAGTGGGTCTGTGTTGGGACTGTGTGTGAGCGAGTGTGAGAAGGGTTCGCAGTGGACACTGGATTGTCTGTGATGGAATCACGGGCCCCCGAGGCCACTGGTCAGCAGACAAGGACGGGCCCTCCTCACACCTCTCCCCCTGCAGACTACCCATGGCGCTGGAGCCAGGCCATCCCCATGAACTCTGCACTCATCAAGTGGCTGTACCTGCCTGACTTCTTCAGGGCCCCCAACTCCACCAACCTCATCAGTGAGTGCCCACCCGGGCTGGGGCCCGCCTCCCAACTCGCCATTGCCTGGGGGCGGAGGGGGGTTCACTGGAGGCCATGAAGGTTCCGCACACAGGACATGCAGCGGGTGAGCAGGGACCCTTGTCTGGAGCCAGTGGGGGGATGGCTGGTCCAGGCCTCACCCTGCCAGCCAGGCCAAAGTCCTGTTTCCCCAGCTGGTGGGCCTTCGTCCAAGAGTGGACACCCCATGTTCCAGGCACATCCACGTGGTACTGAGGGGCCCTGACTCAGGGCACACACAAGGACATGTTGAGGAGCATGCGTGCACACCCAGGTGCACAGACCAAGTCTGTTCCTAGGTGTGCACAGATTGATGTCCCCACAGTGTGCAGTCATGCCTATCAGCCCATGTTCCCTGACACATGTGCACAGATGCAGCACGGGCACACGTGCCCTTGTGCAGACTGCATACACTGGTACTCACATGGGTAGATGTGTGTCCACCCTGCAACCCGCGCACACTGGCGCACTCTCTGGTCTGGGGTAGGAGGTGCCCTCTCCAGCAAGTGTTCCGCACTGACATGTGTGTGGGGCAGCCCGGCAGTGTCCCCTGTGTCCTGCAGGTGACTTCCTCCTGCTGCTCTGCGCCTCCCAGCAGTGGCAGGTGTTTTCAGCCGAGTGTACCGAGGAGTGGCAGCGCATGGCCGGTGTCAACACTGACCACCTGGAGCCACTGCGGGGGGAGCCCAACCCCGTGCCCAACTTCATCCACTGCAGGTGGGTCCCATGCTACATAGGGGCCTTTGCGGGAGGGCCATGGTCGGGGCACCAAAGTGACGACCCCGCCTGGCAGGTCCTACCTCGACATGGTGAAGGTGGCTGTCTTCCGCTACCTGTTCTGGCTGGTGCTGGTAGTGGTGTTCGTCACAGGAGCCACCCGTGTCAGCGTCTTTGGGCTGGGCTACCTACTGGCCTGCTTCTATCTGCTGCTGTTTGGCACTGCACTGCTGCAGAAGGACACACGTGCCCGCCTGGTGCTGTGGGACTGCCTCATCCTGTACAACGTCACCGTCATCATCTCCAAGAACATGCTCTCGGTGAGCCTGGCCCTGCGCCCCTGCCCCCTGCCCCCTGCCCTGGTGGCTCAGTTGACTCCCCTCCCGTCCCCAGCTCCTGTCCTGCGTCTTCGTGGAGCAGATGCAGAGCAGCTTCTGCTGGGTCATCCAGCTCTTCAGCCTCGTGTGCACCGTCAAAGGCTACTACAATCGTGAGTGGGCGCGGGCGCGGGGCGGGGAGGGGCGCATGGGGACACCACTGCTTCTGGGCCCTGACGCCTGCCCCATGCCGGTGCCTGTCTGCAGCCAAGGAAATGATGGGCAGGGACCAGGACTGCCTGCTGCCCGTGGAGGAGGCCGGCGTCATCTGGGACAGCATCTGCTTCTTCTTCCTGCTGCTGCAGCGCCGGGTATTCCTCAGCTACTACTTTCTGCATGTCAGGGTCGACCTCCAGGCCACCGCCTTACAGGCCTCCAGGTTGGTTCCCGTCTCAGGGCTGGGCGGGGGCACTGCCGGGCACCGAGCAGACACCATGGCTCTGTGCCGCTGGCGAGTCACCTAGGGGGACAGCGTCGTCACGTGCAGCTCCCACCAGCTGAGCACTGGATCTCAGTTAGAGGAAACAGGCTGAGCCCCAGGAAGGAGCGAGGTCCCAGCCAGGGGTCTGCTATCAGCTGGAGTTTTGCCCCCAGCTTATTGCCCCTGCTGGCCCGAGTGCGCCCTGCTGGAGGGCTGTGCCGCAGTCTCGCACTTCCGTGGGGACTCTGGCTTACAGCCAGCTCTGCCTGCCTCCCCTGAAGCTCTGGTGGGTGGGCGGGCGTCATGCAGACACGCCTCTTGACTTGTTTGGTTTCCTACCTGAGACTAGAGGGAGCAGGAGGGTCTCTCCTCTCTCACCTCACACAACGCTGGGGGGGCAGGTGGCAGCAGATGCCTCCCCAGTGACTGCTCCGCTGTCCAGTGAGGGTGCTCAGGAGAAGGGGGCCCAGCAGGAGCAGGGAGGACCAGCAGGCACCCCAGAGGTGGGGGAGGAGCCCACAGAGCTGGAGCTTGGCCCCTGGGTTCTCACACCCCCTCCCCCTACCCCACAGGGGCTTTGCCCTCTACAACGCTGCCAACCTCAAAAGCATCGAGTCCCACCGCAAGGCAGAGGAGAAATCCCTGGCTCAGCTGAAGAGACAGTAGGTGCCCTCTGGGTGGGGACACCTCGGGCTCTTCTGACCAGCCTGGTGCTCAGAGCCCCCTCCCACCTGACAGGATGGAGCGCATCCGTGCCAAGCAGGAGAAGTACAGGCAGGGCCAGGCAGGCCGTGGCCGCCACCAGGACCCCGAGGACCCCAGCCAGGAGCCAGGTGAGCTCCACGGAGCCTGGCACCTCAGAGGGCTCCCATGTCCAGGCATGTCTGTGCCTGCTGGAGCCTGCCTGCACCTGTGTCATGTGACGTCCCCGCAGGAATGTCAGCCCGTCTGTCCTGTGCCATGTGGTCACCTTCTGTCCTGGCAGGCCACACGGCTGCCCCATGACTGTCTGTTTGCACGTGTGTGCTCTCTTCTCCATCCCCCCACAGCTCTGAGCCACGAGGCACCACGAGGCCCCCTCCATTGCTGCGGGGGCTCCGTATTTGTCCCTATCCGTCCCTGCCATGTGGCTGCCCTTGTCCCCAAGGTGGTTGCGCTCACAGCCTCCCTGGTCTGAGGCACCACGAGGCCCCCTCCATTGCTGCGGGGGCTCCGTATTTGTCCCTGTCCGTCCCTGCCATGTGGCTGCCCTTGTCCCCAAGGTGGTTGCGCTCACAGCCTCCCTGGTCCCACCTGTGCCTCCGCTGCTGCCTCACGCTCGCTCTGCCCCCCACAGGGCCCGGCAGTCCAGGGGGCTCCTCCCCGCCACGGCGACAGTGGTGGCGGCCCTGGCTTGACCATGCCACAGGTACCCCCGACGGGCCTGCCCATGACCACCCTCTCAGACCCTCCACGGCCCGTCTGCAACCCGCCCGCTTTCCTGGCTGCTGTCTCCCCGCCCTTCAGCTTCATTCTCCCTTCCTGCTGGACCCAGGCCCCGGGCTGTGGGACGTTGTGGCCCTTGCTGGGTGGGGGTGTTGCCCTGGTTACAGGTCTCTGGCCTGAGCATGTTTGCCTTTCCCTGCTATCCTGAGCCCCTTCAGCAGTGGTAGCTCCCATTACTGGCTAAGTGTCAAGTTAGCCCAGGTTCCCCAACAATGAACTCTGCGTTTTCCTCCTGTGTTGTCTGAATTTTCGCCAACAACCTGTGGTCTGTCCTCTCTGCACCCCCGCTGGCCCTGCTCCGTACCTGTCCTTCCTGGTCCAGTCTGGTCTCGTCCCACTGCTCTGGCCTATGTCCTGTGACGCGCTGGTGTCCTGCAGCCTGCTGATGCTGTCTGCACGCGGCACTTCCCACAGGAGGGGTGGCACTCGGGCCTTGCCTGTGCTGGGGGTGGGATGCTGGGGGAACTCACGCTGGGCACCCTGAACTTAAGAAGCGAACCTGGGGGACTGTCAGGGAAGGGCAGCCCTACCTGGGGAGCCAGCTCTTAGCTCCGCCCTGCCCGCAGTCATCCACTCCGGGGACTACTTCCTGTTTGAGTCAGACAGTGAGGAGGAGGAGGCCCCGCCAGAGGACCCCAGGCCGTCTGCACAGAGCGCCTTCCAGGTGAGGTGGGAGGGTCCCCCGCCTGCACTCCTCTGTCCGTGGAGCTCGTGGGCAGGGACAGCAGATCATGGGCTGCTACCTGCCCCTCTGCCTACTACCTCCCAAAGTCCTAACTCTGACCACTCCAGGTTATGGTGGCTGCCAGGGGCCTAGCCTGTGAGAAGGGCTCAGTATGTGTCTGCTGGATTCACATTTGTGCCTTGGGGCTAGGAGGAGCCTCTCATCCATCTTGGGGTCCCTGATTCTTAGTGTGGGGCCCTGGTGCTGGGTGGGCTGCAGGCACTGTGTCTTACCTCCACAGCCCCTCCGGGACCCCATTTCCAGAGAAGGATTAGGGAGGTGATGGTCCCCAGCTGGGTGCGGACAGAGTGGGGATCTAGTGCCAGGCCCACCCGGCCCCAGGCTCCTCCTTCTCGGGCTCAGAGGAGGGGGGCTGAATTGGATCTGAGGATTGGGGAGGCCATGGTCCTAACCCAGAGGGTCTGGCCCACAGATAGCGTACCAGGCATGGGTGACCAATGCCCAGACGGTGTTGAGGCAGCGGCAGCAGGAGCGGGCACAGCAGGAGCAGGCAGGGCAGATGCCCACCAGTGAGTTGAGCGACCTATGGGCTCTGGTGTGGGAGCTGCATGGTCGCAAAACACTGATCAGCACCCCTGTGTCCAGGAGACAGCTCAATCCAGGAGGTGGAGGTGGAGTTGGAGAACGAGGTGGCAGGTGCGTGGGCCCAGGGGGCTAGGGGCCGGGGACTCTCCCACGTACAGGCCGCTCCTCCAGCAACCCTGCCACCCTCCTGCAGGCCGCAGCCATGTGATGCAACGGGTGCTGAGCATGGTGCAGTTACTGTGGGTGCTGGGGCAGGCGCTGGTGGACGGGCTGACGCGTTGGCTGCAGGCCTTCACCAGGCACCACAGCACCATGAGCGACGTGCTGCGTGCTGAGCGCTACCTCCTGACGCAGGAGCTGCTGCGGGTGAGCTGCCTCCTGCCCATGGCCACACCCCTCCCTGCCATTCCCATGGCCCTGCCCAGTCATACCCACCACGCCCCCACGTCCATCACACTCCCGTGTCCACACTGGCCTGAGTGCGGGATGTAGAGCTGGGATACAATCTGGGCAGCCTGAGACCCCTCCACATGCCCAGCAGAGCGGAGAGGTGCATCCAGGCGTGTTGGACCAGCTGTATACCAGCGCAGGCGAGGTCACGCTGCCAGGCCCCTCAGAGGCCCGTGATGCACCGAGCACAGCATCAAGGTAGGTGCAGGGGGCTGAGGGGGCAGGGGCCAAGGCAGGCCCAACCCCACCCCGCCTGCCCTCAGCCCCAAAGCAAGGGTTTTCCTCTGAGCTCCTGAGCCGCCCACATCAACGGGCTTGGCACCACCTGGCCTGCCTGACCCTCACCGTCCTTCTGGTCCACTAAGGGACTTTGAGGCACTCCAGCCCCCTCCACCACTCCCCAGAACCCCAGGGGCTGGCAGAGAAGGGGCCAGCTCTGTGACCTGGCTTCTCCCACAGTGGGCTGGGGGCCGAGGAGCCACTGAGCAGCATGACCGAGGACACCAGCAGCCCCCTGAGCACTGGCTACAACACCCGCAGCGGCAGCGAGGAAATCGTCACTGAGCCTGAGCCCGGGGACCCTGAGGCTGGGGCTTCCCTTCGCGGCTCCCAGGAGCTTCTGGCCGGTGTTCGCACCAAGATGCGCACGGCCAGTGAGCTGCTGCTCAACAGGTGCGAGGGTCGGGGGTTGGCAGGAAGGCCTGCGGCGTCATGAGGAGGTAGCTGAGTCCGCATGGAGCCCAGGCCCATTGGGAGCCCGTGATCTTGACGGCAGACTGGACATCTGCGCCTGAGGGGTGGTCCCGGGGCACACCCGCAGCTCATGGTTCTGCTGCAGGCGCCTGCGCATCCCGGAGCTGGAGGAGGCTGAGCAGTTTGCAGAGGGGCAGGGCCGGGCGCTGCGGCTGCTGCAGGCCGTGTACCAGTGCGTGGCTGCGCACTCGGAGCTGCTTTGCTACTTCATCGTCATCCTCAACCACATGGTCACGGCCTCGGCCACCTCCTTGGTGCTGCCCGTGCTCGTCTTCCTGTGGGCCATGCTGTCCATCCCGCGGCCCAGCAAGCGCTTCTGGATGACGGCCATCGTCTTCACTGAGGTGGGCGGCGGCCAGCGGGGGGGGGGGGAGCCTGGCCCCATCTTCCTGTGGGCCATGCTGTCCATCCCGCGGCCCAGCAAGCGCTTCTGGATGACGGCCATCGTCTTCACTGAGGTGGGCGGCGGCCAGCGGGGGGGGGGTAGCCTGGCCCCACGGTGCTGAGCCCCCTCCCCTGCAGGTCACGGTGGTCACCAAGTACCTGTTCCAGTTTGGCTTCTTCCCCTGGAATAGCCACGTGGTGCTGAGGCGCTACGAGAACAAGCCCTACTTCCCGCCACGCATCCTGGGCCTGGAGAAGACCGACGGCTACATCCATTATGACCTGGTGCAGCTCATGGCCCTTTTCTTCCACCGTTCCCAGCTGCTGGTGAGCACCAGGCACCGACTGGGGGTGGGTGGTGCTTCTCAGCGCCCTGGTGCTCTCAGGTCCAGGAGGCCAGGCTGGGTGCTGCTTGGGGTAGGCCTGGCCGTCCTGCCTGGTCTGAGTACTGCCTGGTGCCCAGGTTGGCCTCCTCGCCACTCCTTGCCCTTTCTGCAGTGCTACGGCCTCTGGGACCACGAGGAGGACCCGCTGTCCAGAGAGCAGGGCCGGAGGAGCAGGAAGGAGCAGGGCACTGAGGAGAAGCTGGTGGCCCCACTGGGACCCCAGACTGAGGCAGACACAGGGCCCCAGGAGGAGCCAGGGCTGGCTGGGGCCACCACCAAGGACCACATCCAGGTGGAAGCAGAGGTCGGACCCAAGGATGGGATCCCAGAGCCCCAAGTGGAGCCGAAGACCCGTGACACGAGGCGCATCAACCTACGTTTCAGGAGGAGGAAGAAGGACAGCCCAGAACCCAAAGAACCGGCAGCCGTTGGTATAATAGCTCTGATCACAGTTTCTAGACCACATGGTTCTGGGGTGGAGCTGCTGGCGCTCTGGCCACGTTGCTGGGGAGGTGGATGAGTCACGTGAGATGGCCAGGCCCAGCATGGGGACCGTCTGCCTTCCAGAACGACCCCTTGGGCCGTGGGCTTCTGGCTGTTTCAGGGGAACCTGCAGAAGCTGCCCTCCCTGGCTCCTGCCCCAGCTCTGCCCCCCAGGCACAGGGGAGAGGTCTGCTGGCCTGGGCTGGCCCCTCAAGGCTGTTGAGGCAGAGGATACAGCCCCAGCTGCCCCCTTTCTGGTGATACTGGGGAGGTCCCTGTGCTCAGTCTGCTGCTCTGTAAAATGGGAGGATGCCAGCCACTCAGGGTGGTCTCTTGGGGTGCCAGGAGCCATGAGCCAAGCCCAGTCCCCAGTGGGCTCAGTCAGTGTTGGCTTCTCCCCACAGAAGCTGAGGACAGGGAGGATGAGGAGGAGGAGGAAGAGGCGGCTGGGAGAGAGAAGAGGCCAGGCCACTGTCGAGAACGAGTGCGGGCAGCTGGGCTCTGGCTGCAGGGCTTCTGCCTGTCGCTGTGAGTGACCCTGGCCTGGAGCGCCCCAGGCAGCGGGGGCAGGACGGGGAGGGAGGCGCTGAGGCCCAGCACCCAGCTGAGCCAACCCTCTCGCAGGGCCCAGGGTGTGTACCAGCCACTGCGGCGTTTCTTCCACGACATTCTCCACACCAAGTGCCGCGCAGCCACTGATGTCTATGCCCTCATGTTCCTGGCTGATGTCGTCGACTTCATCATCATCGTCTTTGGCTTCTGGGCCTTTGGGGTGAGCTGGGCCCAGGACTCCCGCAGTGAAAGCAGAGTCCAGCGGTCACTACATACCCCAGCTCCAGGCTCCCCTGACATGTGCTCTCCCGGCCACAGAAGCACTCGGCGGCCACGGACATCACATCCTCCCTATCGGACGACCAGGTGCCCGAGGCCTTCCTGGTCATGCTGCTGATCCAGTTCAGCACCATGGTCATCGACCGCGCCCTCTACCTGCGCAAGACTGTGCTGGGCAAGCTGGCCTTTCAGGTGGTCCTGGTGCTCGCCATCCACCTCTGGATGTTCTTCATCCTGCCCGCTGTCACCGAGAGGTGGGTCCGCGGGGGCACTGCACCACCCGGGGGAGGGGGCACTCCGCTGTTCATAACAGAGCCGGGGTTGGGGCTGGGGACCTTGGAGGTCCGTTTCCAATCGGATCCCTGACCTGCCATCCTCCAGGATGTTCAGCCAGAACGCAGTGGCCCAGCTGTGGTACTTCGTCAAGTGCATCTACTTCGCCCTGTCTGCTTACCAGATCCGCTGTGGCTACCCCACCCGCATCCTCGGCAACTTCCTCACCAAGAAGTAGATCGGATCCCTGACCTGCCATCCTCCAGGATGTTCAGCCAGAACGCAGTGGCCCAGCTGTGGTACTTCGTCAAGTGCATCTACTTCGCCCTGTCCGCTTACCAGATCCGCTGTGGCTACCCCACCCGCATCCTCGGCAACTTCCTCACCAAGAAGTATAATCACCTGAACCTCTTCCTCTTCCAGGGGTGAGTGTGAGTCTGGCCCTCGAGGAGCAAGGTGCAGGAGGTGGCCGGGCTAGGCCAGGCCAGGCCAGATACCCTGTTACAGCCTGAGTTGGAGGGCCCCCTCCCCCACTGATGGGAATCCTGGCATTGGACAGGTTCCGGCTGGTGCCATTCCTGGTGGAGCTGCGGGCAGTGATGGACTGGGTATGGACAGACACCACGCTGTCCCTGTCCAACTGGATGTGCGTGGAGGACATCTATGCCAACATCTTCATCATCAAGTGCAGCCGAGAGACAGAGAAGGTGCCTGGGCTCTGTGCAGGGTACCTCAAGAAGGGGATGGGAACACTGTTCTTCCATTGGGGCAGACGGGCCACCCCACAAGAACCAGATGGTGCTGGTGGTCCCTCCCTGACAGCTCACAGGCTTGCTGGCCTGAGGCCAGAAAGCACAGGCAGCCCAGAAAAGGATCTTTCTAAAACTCTTGGCAGCTGGGTGTGGGTGCTGGGGACCCAGTGGACTTGGAAGCAGGTTATCAGCAGGGCCTGGCGGTGGGGGTGCAGGAGGGAGGATGGGGACAGACGCTGTGATGTCAGCTTGCTCTTGAACAGCTTTACTGAGAGAGTTCACACGTCACACAGTTCACCCAGTTAACGCAGTCAGTGGTTTTGAGTACGTTCAGTCACACAGCCACCACTAGAACTGATTTTAGAACATTTTCATCATACCAGAAAGAAACCCAGCACCCGTTGGCTGTCCCTTCCCATCTCCTCCTCATCCCCTCCCCAGCCCCTGGTAGCCTCTGATCTACTTCATGTCTAAATAGATTTGCCTGTTATGGACACTTCATAAAATGGAACCATATATCCTGTTGTGACTGGCTCCTTTCACTGAGCATTGCATGTTTAAGGTTCTTCTGTGTTGTAGCATGTGTCAATATGTTATTCTTTTCTATAGCCAAGTAAGATTCCATTGTGTGGATAGACCACAACCTGTCTATCCATTCACCCATCAATGGACTGATGAGTGGTTTCCACTTTCCAGCTATATAGGATCCGAACCCGTGGCGGGAGCATCGCTGCACTCCCAGCGCTGCACTCTCCCGAGTGCGCCACAGGGCCGGCCCAGAAGTTCTTGTTTTTAATGACGTCCAGTTTATTCTCTCCTCTGCTGCTCATGCTTTTGGTGTTTCCTCTGTGAATCCTTTGCCAAATCCAAAGTCATGAAGATTTGCTCCTACAGGGTCTTCTAAGAGTTTCATAATTTCTTTTACGTTTAGCTCTCAGATGCATGTTGAGTGTTCTGTATGTGGTGTGAGGTAGGGGTCCAGCTTCACTCTTTTGCATGTGGCTGTCCCAGGACCACTTGTTGAAGACTGTCCATTCCCACTGAATGGTCTTGGCAACCTTGTCTAAAATCAGTTGACCCTCCCTAAATGTGAGGGTTTATTTCTGGACCCTTAATTAATTGATCCATGTGTCTGGCCATATGCCAACACCAGCCTGTCTTGCCTACTGTGGCTCTGTAGTCAGCTTGGATGTTAGATCAAGGTTTGACTTTATGGAGTCCTGGGTGAGCCACAGGCCTTGGTTGTGGGAGGGGAGGGCAGAGCTGAGCAGGTGACCTGTGTGTGTCATCACCCCAGAGATACCCACAGCCCAAGGGGCAGAAGAAGAAGAAGGTCGTCAAGTACGGCATGGGTGGTCTCATCATCCTCTTCCTCATTGCTATCATCTGGTTCCCGCTGCTCTTCATGTCTCTGGTGCGCTCAGTGGTTGGTGTTGTCAACCAGCCCATCGATGTCACTGTCACCCTCAAGCTGGGTGGCTATGAGGTGAGTAGCCACTGGCCCTGTCTGATCCCCCAGGAGGAACAGGGGTATGGCTGGAGTGTGGGCTCAGCCTGGACACAGGCTCTGGCCAAGGCAGTGCCATCACCGCACCCCCTCCACTTTCTCATCTTCTTGGACCCCTTGTGGCACTCTCCACGGTCCTGGAGCCTCAGGGTGCCTGGAGAGGTTTCTCTGGTGCCGTGTCCATCCCAAAACCATGTCCCCTGTTCACCCCAGCCCCTGTTCACCATGAGCGCACAGCAGCCATCCATTGTGCCCTTCACGCCCCAGGCCTACGAGGAGCTATCCAGGCAGTTTGACTCCCACCCGGTGAGTGGACCCTACATTGTGACTGCCTGGGGCGGGGGGATGACAGCCTGGTGGAGTGGGGGTGGCCAGTGCCCCAATGAGAGTATGCTGCCCCTGCCCAGCTGGCCATGCAGTTCATCAGCCAGTACAGCCCCGAGGACATCGTCACAGCACGCATTGAGGGCAGCTCTGGGGCACTGTGGCGCATCAGCCCGCCAAGCCGGGCCCAGATGAAGCGGGAGCTGTACAACGGCACGGCTGACATCACCCTGCGCTTCACCTGGAACTTTCAGAGGTGCGTCCTGTGCTTGTGGCAGGCCCGGGTGGGACATGCCCTAGGGTGGCTCACACGTGCCCCCCTGCAGGGACCTGGCCAAGGGCGGCACCGTGGAGTACACTAATGAGAAGCACACCCTGGACCTGGCTCCCAATAGCACTGAGCGGTGGCAACTGGCCAGCCTGCTCGAGGGCACCTCGGACCAGTCAGTGTGAGTGGGGGCCACCAGGGGTGGGGGTGGACGGAGGACAGCAGGGCTGGGCTGGACCTGACCCACTGGCTCCTCCCTACAGGGTCATCCCCAACCTCTTCCCCAAGTACATCCGTGCCCCAAACGGACCTGAGGCCAACCCTGTGAAGCAGCTGCAGCCCAGTGAGTGTGGGGTGTGGTGGGGTGAGGGGGGGGAGTGGGATGCAGCCTTGCTGGGGACGAACAGTGCTGGCCTCTGGCCCCAACCACCTCCTGGCTCTGACCCAGATGAGGAAGCTGACTACCTGGGTGTGCGCATCCAGCTGCGGAGGGAGCATGTGGGCACGGGGGCTGCTGGCTTCCTTGAGTGGTGGGTCATCGAGCTGCAGGACTGCCAGGCTGACTGCAACCTGCTGCCCATGGTCATCTTCAGCGACAAGGTCAGCCCGCCCAGCCTTGGCTTCTTGGCTGGCTACGGGTGAGTGCACAGCTCTTGTGAGCATCCTGTGGCTCTGTGGGGGCTCCAGGCAGCAGTCCCAGGAATGACCCTGCCTGGCCTGCCCAACAGGATCATGGGGCTGTACGTGTCCATTGTGCTTGTCATCGGCAAGTTCGTGCGTGGCTTCTTCAGTGAGATCTCGCACTCCATCATGTTCGAGGAGCTGCCCTGCGTGGATCGCATCCTCAAGCTGTGCCAGGACATCTTCCTGGTGCGGGAGACCCGCGAGCTGGAGCTGGAGGAGGAGCTGTACGCCAAGCTCATCTTCCTGTACCGCTCGCCGGAGACCATGATCAAGTGGACTCGCGAGAAGGAGTAGGAGCCGGGCTCCTGGCGTACAGTGAATGAAGGAGCCGGCCTGGCTAGGGAAACGTGGCTGCATGGGCTGGGTGACGCTCCTCAGGCCGGGAGAACAGCAGCCCCAGTCCCAGGCCACCAGCTGTGACATGCCCTCTCGGCCCACCTGAGCCTGATGCTGCTGTCCCCTCCTGTTGCCCTTGTGGGCCCAGGGCTGGCCCCCCCTGCCCCAAGCGTACTGTAGAGTTTTCTAATTAAAAACATTTTTATTTATACAAACGAACAGTTGTGGCTAGCCCCTATCCTTGCCTTCCTGCTCTAGTGTGGACAGCCCTTTCCTGGGGACAGGGCACAGTCCAGCAGAGCTAGGGGCCTGCTATCCCTGCCAGAGCTGTCTTGGTGAGTGTGTCATTGCAGTTCAGCTCTGACCCGTCTCCGCCTCGTCATCACTGTCCTCAATGAGATATTCCTGGACTTCCTGCATGACCCAGGCCCTGGGGGGAGAAGGCCACATGGTGGGAACCAGCCCTGAGGGTCTTACACCCAGAAGGGGCTCCCAGAAGAGCAGGCACCAGTACCTCTGTCTGCGGAGCTGGGCCTCAGCCAGGATGTAGGGTGGCAATGAGTCCAGGGAGCGCTGGAACAAAAGCCAACCTGTGTGTGGGGCCTGTGGAACTAGCCCCTGCACAGCCACGCCCAAGCCTGCCTGCCCTATCGCCACCCTGGGTAGTTTTCTCGCTCTCCTCACCCAAGACACCGGGAGGGGAAGACTTCATGTGTCCCCAAGCCCAGCCCTGCCAGGTGCACTGTTGCCACCCACTCACCAAGTCCTTCAAGTTCACCTGGCAGCCGTAGCACAGTTGCTCCATGATGCAGGCTCGGGGGTCCCCCCTGTGGAAGAAGACCTGGACCTGTATGCCCGTCTCAGCTCCTCAGTGCAGGTGCAGTGTGGGGAGGGCATGGTTGCCCCACCCCGCATGCTGCCAGGGGCCAGCCATAGGGCAGGATCAGGTAGGAACTCACCTCCCACAGGTGGCTCTGCAGCAGCCTTGGGTCCTGCCCACCCCCGGAGAGCAACAGGGCACTGTGGGCGTCCCAGCCTCAGCCGGTAGGGTGGGTGGCTGCATCTGGGAGAGACGCGAAGAAGTCTGAGCCCCAAAAGCTGTGGCACTGTCTGCAAGCAGAGAGGGGCTGATGGGACCCTGGGGCTGCTGAGCCCCAACACAAAACCCCAGCTCCCCACATCCCACTGCCTGGAGAGGACACAGCACACACCAGCATCATCGATGTCCAATGTGCACATGCAGAGCAGGCAGCGGGGGCCTGGGGAGCCAGCAGCATGGCCATCCCTCGGGGCCTTGACTAGCTTCTCACTCGTCCTATGGCCGGGAGGGGACAGGTCATAAATGCACTGGGGACTTTGCGCCTTCCCAGGCCCTGACTCGAGCATGTAGCAGTGGACTCAGCGCCCTGGCCCCCACCCGCGTGCACACACACACCTGTACACGGTGCTGACCGTGGAGGGGAACTGGGTCTGCAGCCTGAGGATGAAGGCCTCCATCAGCCGGTGGATGCTGGCCTTCTCAGGGGCCTAGGGACAATTAGATGGGGACTGTGGGAGCAGAGACCAGAGGCCTCACATGGCAGCCGGAGCCTCCCTTTGTAGGGGCTGGACAGGACAGCCGAGGATGCACTGCTGAAGTGTGCCTGACAAGCACACCTGATAGGGTGTGCTCAAAGGACCCTGAGGGGCACTGCTACTGGTGGTGAGGCCACAAAGGCCAGCTGGGATCCTGGAGTCAGCCTGGGGAGAGGAAGGGCTCGTGCTTGTGGAGGCTGGTGTGGACACTGAAGCTTCACCATGACCTCTGGCCTTGTGCTGCAAGTAGACCCACCCTGCCAGGCTACACAGCCCCTTGGTGGGCCTACCTTAGTGTCTATGGCTGGCGTGAAGACTGAGGGAACGGCGAATAGGCGGTTGTAGAAAGCAACCTCCTTCAGCGTGTAGTCACGCATGGGCCGCACCACCACCACATCCCTATGACGCTCGTCCGAGAAGCCCTGCGCGGGGAGGGGCGAGCTGTGTGGCCCAGGTCCTGACTGCACACCCCATCTCCTCCTGTGCCAGCTAAGGGTGGGGGGTCACAGGCCCCCTCCTCCACGTGGGAGACTATGGGAACACGCACAGGACACTACTTTCAAGTAAAAGAGGCCAAAGGATGAGGACAGGGAGGGGTCTCAGGTGCCCCAGCACCTGCGTACCGTGTCCCAGGCAAGGAAAGCTCCTCTCCCAAGTGCCAGGTTGGTCATGAGCTTGATGGCCAGGCGGGTGCAGCTGTCCCCAGTCATTACCTTGGAGTAGCCATGGGCTCGGGCCACATGCAGGATCAGGTGGGTCCTGTGGTGCAGAGCGAATCAGAGGCAAGGATGGAGTGAGGCCAGGACCCCAGGGTGAGGTGGGGCTGGGAGAGGACCCTAGGAGAGGGTGGGCTCACCGAAGGGTCTGCAGAAGCTCCTCCTTGGCTGTCAGTGTCTTCACTGAGTCGAACAGTCTGGCCAGAGCTGCGGTCTGGGCAGCTGTAGGTGACCCAGCCAGGCTCTGTGGGTCCAGGGGGTCCCGGGTGTGGGGCCGGCATAGCTGCTCCTCTCTCTGAACTGAGCTGGGGCTGTTCTCAGCCCCTTCAACCCCCAACACATGCTGCTGCCTGAGGAAGCTGTCCACGGCCGCCTTGTAGGCCCCCTCAGTCCCTGCCGGCTCCTGGGTGGAGTGCTGCAGCACTGATGGCGGCAGGCTGAATACCTTCCAGGATGCAGAGAGTGTGGTGAGGCCAGGGCAGGAGACCCCGATAGCCCCTCACCAGGGACAGGCCTGCCCACCTCCTCTAAGGCGACGAGGTGCCAGGGCATGCCAGCAGTTTGCAGGACCAGCTTCACTTCAGCCAGGGTCTTTGCTCTGTTCTCTGGGCTCTGGCCACAGGCTGCTCCCTCTGGAAATCACAGGCAGAAAGAGGAGTTACGGCACAGAACAAGAGCCCCAGGTGGCATAGGAAGAGGGCTGACTCCACGCAGGGAGTCCCTTGAGGCTGTGCTATGCCGGCGGTAGTTTCTGTGAAAGCTGCTGGATGCCGACTGTCTTCCTTCAGGGGGGTGGGGGAGTGTGCAGGGGGTTCTCCCCCGGGGCTCACCGCAGCACTACAGATGATGCCTGAGAGCACGTCAGCAGGAGCTAGGGGAGCGGAGCTGGCACCATGGCCTCTGCACACTCCGACTGCCATCATCAGTACTGAACTCACCCTTCTCAGTCCTCCGACCCTGTCATGGTGGCCAGCAGCTGCTCCTGTCCCCCACCCTGACTCTGACCAAAGTCTGAGACTCTGGGAACAGAGGTGCCGTCTGAGGCTAGATACATCCACTGTCTCCTGACAGAAATGTCCCCACCAGTCCTTGGGATGGGAGGCAGCATCAGCCGTTCTCAGTGTCTCACCAGAGAGAAGGTCAGTGGGCCCACCCAGCAGCCAGGACCTGGGAGGAGCGCAGGCCACACGTACCGTCCACATAGATGATCCCTGGCACAAAACGCAGTCTTTTGGCAGAGTCTCGACTCAGGCCCTGGAGGGAGAAATGTCAGGACTCATCCCAGGCCACAAGCCATGGGACACTTTTCTGGATAAGACAACTTTTCATCTGGATTTGACACCTTACTGGAAAAGCTGAGTGCCAGCCAGGCCCCATGGGCAAGGCTCATTTTAAAGGGCATGGGGTCTTTGCTCCCCCTGGTTAAACGTGTACCTATCTGCAGAAACCACCACTCACCAATCAGTCCTCAAAGTCTCAGCAACCCCCCGAGAGAAGAACCTGGGTTTGCCTGGGCCACCGTGCCATCTATCCATGCACCTCTGACCACTCAGAAAGTGTTCTCGAATGTAAGAATGGAAAGTGGAGGCTGACTGGTTAGCTTAGCTTGTTAGAGCACAATGCTGATAAGACCAAGGTCCAGGGTTCCATCCCCATATCAGCCAGCCACCCCCCCCCCCAAGAAGAAAAAAAGGAAAGTGACAGCTCACTAAAGACACCAGGTGCTGCACAAATGGCCAGGTGGGTGAGGTGCTCATCTCACACCACCATCTAGGCAGTTTTAGGGAAATGCAGGGTGAGGACAGAATGCCAGCCACAGAAGCATCACACAGGGTGCCCATCCAAGGACTAGCACCACCCTCCCAGGCAGAGCCCTGGGCCACCGACTTTTCCCCTTTCATCTGTCCCTCCCTACCCCATGCCTACCACGGCCACAGCCTCCTCAGTGGCCCCTCGAGTCTGCACCCCTCAGCAGAGTGTAGAGGGACTGACTGTCCAAGCCCCTCCCCTGTGTGGAGACTCCCAGTGCCCTCAGGAGAAACCCTACCTGCCTCAGACACCCTGAGCAGACCCTGGACATGCCAGGAGAGTGGCCCCACACACCCTCGGCAGTCGCATGGTTTGCAGCTCGAGCTTCCACCCCCTCCCCACCATGTGCTGTTTCCACTTAGACCACTGCTGCCTTTGCTTCAGCCAGCAAACCCTCCTTCCCCATCTCCCTTCCAGTCACATGTGGCCAAGTTGCGACACCGTATTCCAGTAACTACATTTCTGTGTGAGTCGAACAAATGGTAAGAGCTAAACTGCAGCACAACTGGCACTGTAGATGCAGCTTCTGGTTTGTGCACCTGCTGTATACACATCTGAGAATCCTCTAGGTATCCCAGCTAAGGGGAGGGCTACTCTCTCTAGCTCCAACCAAAAGCCCCCCCCATACCCAGTGCTGGCTGAGAAGGGAGGCCTCCCACTCCAAAGCTCGGCCCAGTGGTCTGGGCCTGGAGGGTGATGTAGACGCACCTCAAGGACCTGCCAGACCATGGAGCTGGACGAAGGCCCCCCAGACCACGCCAAGAGCACCTGGGGGAGAGAAATATCACTGAGGGCACTGCATCTCCAACACAAGCATGTCCACCCCCACCTTGTGGACAGCCCCTAACACTGAGTCCACCCTCTAAGCCCAGGGAGGGGCTGATGGGCTGCAGCAAGAACAGGAGAGGTCTGTAGGAGGGGCAGCAGGGGCCACAAGCTGTGGGGCTGGGCTGCTCAGTCAGACCTCCAGGCCCCACAGTCTACCTTCTCGCCTGGAAAGATGAGCCGGTTCTTCCCCAGCATGGCTCTGAACTTATGCACATAAAAGGCCTTGAAACAGTCCCTGCAACACAGATGCTGAGATGGGAGAGCTGCTCCGCACCTGCACAGCTGACTGGCAGCCTGGGTTACATTTTTCCTTCTTTTAGCAATTTCCATCTCTAAAAGCAGCATCTTCACATCAAGGCTCTGCCCAGAGGCCGGCAAAGGAAGCCAGGGTTGAGGGGCTCCCCCAGCTGTGGCTTCCCCAGGGCAAGCACTGGGGCTCACTTGGGTCCCTCTCACAATCTCCACCAAGTGTGAGCTGCACCTACTGCCTGAGGGGGCCAGAGCTGGGCACCACCTGCACCCATAGGTGCTCAAAAAGGGCCCAGCTGTGGAATGGATGGACTTAGGCACGTGAAGTGCAGGACAAGACCACCCCTGACTCCCATAAGAATACGAGTTGATGGGGCCGGCCCGGTGGCGCACTGCTACAGTGCACCGCTTGGGAGCGAGGCGGCGCTCCTGCCAAGGGTTCGGATCCCACATACAGACCGGTTCCCGCTCACTGGCTGAGCGAGGTGCGGGCGCAACACCGAGGGTTGCGATCCCGTTGCCGGACACGAAAAAAGACAAAAAAAAAAAAGAATACGAGTTGATGACGTGCATCCAAGACCCCCACAGGCAGAAGTACCACCTCTTTGGAGTAAAGAGGGGAGGCGCTGAGCAGGCCGCAGTGAGGGCCCCACATCTGGGGCTCCACAGCTGACATCTCTAGTGTGCTGGGCCCAACCCGGCCAGCAGTAGCTGGGAAGCCTACACAAACGCAGAGGCCTGCTCCTTCCAAACCCACAGAATCAGAACTGGGTGGGGACTGGGATTATGCGTCCTTAATAAGCTTTCCAGCTGACTCTCTGGTTCAGTTAGGTTAGAGGTTCTCAGCACTGGCTGCATGTTAGCATCGTGAAGAACAATTAAGTCAGAATTTTCAGGGGCGAGGCCCTGGAATCTGCACGTTACAAGCTCCCTGGCAGGTGGTCAGAGTGAACAGCAGAGCCCAGTACAGAGGAGAGCAGTGCTGCCGCAAGACACCGCCCTACATCTGGCTGCACCGTAAGTGTCTTCTGTCTTTCTGTCAGTCATACCCGGTGTCCACAGCAGTCCCTCCCAACACTGACCGGCTGTCCTCACCTGCAGAAGGCACCTCCCGCTCGGACCAACACGACAGGCAGGCCTGCCTCGCACCTCACACACTTCTGTCCACGGCTTTGGAGATAGGAGAGGGGGAGGAGAGAGCAAAAGCACAGATTACACGCCCCACCCCCAGTGGGCTTCGGCGAGACAGCTTCTCTGTCTCACCCTGAGCTGGGTGGGAGGACGGCACGCGGGTACAACGCACACACCGGGGAGTGAGTTTTGTCCAAACTACCAACTTGGGGAGAGACAAAGGCTCTGGGGGGACGTCTAGCCTGGAAAAGCCGGTGCAGGGGCCCACAGAGGCCGCCTCTCTACCCCTCAGGGGCTGGCACGGGAGGAGGGCAGAACTTGGTGTGTGTGGCCCGGGAGGTTGACGTGAAACCCGCGGGTCGCAGCCACTGGGAGGCCGACTTCCTCCCCGAGCACGGACAGCATGCGAGCGGCCGAGCCGTCCCCGAGGGCTGCAAGAATGAGAAGTGCGAGCCAGCAGAGGGAGCCCCTCCCGCTGGGGTTCGCCGCTGGCTCGACGGCCGCCGTCCGCGCGCGGCGGAGCGAGGTCCGGTCTCCCCGGGAGCTGGCCTGAGAGCAGCGGGGGCGCGAGGGCCTCCGGAGCTCTTACCCGGGCCGCGGTGGCGGCGGTTCCCCCGGCGCCGGCTCCCCGTAGTCCTCGCCCACCTGGCACATGGCTGCGCACGGTCCCGTCGCAGGCCCAGACCGCTACGGGGACGCGCCCTGATAACGTCAGGCAGCGCCGTCGCCCTCCGATGACGTCAGGCAGCGCCGTCGCGGCGGTGACGGGCTGGCCGGCGGGCCGGGCCAGCACAGGGGGCGGCGGCGGCGG